TTGCTTAAAGGGTTTCCCAACCGCCAGCGTCCATGACTCCATCTAACTTTCTCACGATGTAATTCTGTACATTATGGTTCAACCAAACATTTCTTATAAAATCATCGTAGCGGGGGCGCATCAAATGAAGTGTCTGGTTTTTTTTGCTTTCAACCGAAAGCTCACCGTGCTTGTCCAAGTACGGGGAATTGTAAAATGAGCCTCCATTTTCGTGTAACAATAAAAATGTTCGTTCTTTTGGAAGAAGAAATAGCCCGATACTATTTGCACATTCTTTCAAAAAATGAGTAGTACACTGGCCCTCTTTACATCCAATCTCTCTTTTCTGGATATCAACAACTGTTCCACAGAAGAGGCATACTGCAGGATCTTCTATTTTTGTATGAGGATTATTAAACTTATCCAGATAATAGTATTTCGAAAAGAAAAAATCTAACCTTTCAGGAAGGTTTATAAGTTTAATGATCCCCGGATAGTCTAAAGATTGTTTTATTTCAATTCTCTCGTTAAGTTTCTTAACCAGCAAATATTCTACGAACAAACGGAATTTCATAGTTTCAAAAGAATGGTCGGTTTCCTTGCTAAATGCATTCAATAAATGGCTAATGCTACTGATATTAAGAAAAGTAGTCAACCTATTAGCTTCGATTTGTATATCCTCATATTTCTCAAAGTCTATTGATCCAGTATCAGCGCATGCAACAAATGCCAATATACAAGATCTCCTTAAAAATGGCGTCATGGCTTTAATGATCATTGAATAGAAAACATAACCAATCCTGATGTCTGTAACTGCAGCAGAATCCGAATTCGTGATATGGCTCTTTAAAGTATTAAAGACTGACAAAGCTGAGGCTGCATCAGACTCCTGAACATCAGATATTATTGGAACATCATAGATTGAGTAGCCCATTTGCCTATAGTAATCATTCTTCAAAATTTCAGTCACTAGAATGAGAACCGTTTGAATTAACTGGCCAGTAAAGCATAGCTGTAGTATAGAATTAAACAGGAATCCAAGGCTTGGCAATGGAAATAAGTCCACTAAAATATCAAAAAAGTCTCGTTCTATGATAGCCTCATTTATTGAGTCAGAAGAAACAAGTAATAAATTCGATAAAAACTTCAAACAGGTATTCCAATTTGAATTTGGAGTTTGAATCCAATTTTTAATCTTCATGAATAAATTCGTATTTCTAAATTCATGAAGCGTCCTTAAATTAGTTAACGCGATGTTTGAAAGTTGTGAAATAAGAAGCAGTCCTGAGGCAGGGACACCACGCAAACTTATCTCTGCAGATTTGATAGTGTTGGTCAAAATTAGTGACGAATCTGCTCTTAGAATTTTTGGGAATGTGAGCAAAGTAAGTATTTGAAACATATTTGTTAAAATCAGTCGGTAATTTAGTTGGTTTAAAGTCGAGTCGTCCGAAGCTGCCTCAGAAATCATATCAATCACGCCGGGTGCCATATTAAGAGACTCTTCGACATCCTTACACACCGTTCTAGAAAAATGACCAAACCATTCTTCATCATATACATTCTCTCTGTTAAGTCTTTCAAACTGCGTCAATGGTGGTTCATTGCATGGATGTAAAAAATTTGCAAGTGATCTCTTGTTTGAGCTCCATAGTACCGGGACGAACATATTATTAATTGCTTTACACAATGGACAAAGGAATTCCTTGTGATCTATATTTTCAGGAGTATTTCTTGTAATTTGATTCAGACGGTTCCTATTACCGTTCAAAAAATTCATATAGCACTGAAAATGCATACCATGACCACAACTCAGGGACACTAATTTACTCTCGACATTTTCTTGCAGCGTGAAACCAGGTCCCATATCGTTGTCTCTTCTGACTTTACTCATGTAGATTTCCCAATTATCAGTATAAGTTTGATAAGCAACGTTGTACTCGTCATCAGACAAATCTGGTGAATCTGAAAACGCCTTTAAAAACCAGTATGGGTCCTCGAAAGGCGTGGTTCTAAATTCTGATGATTTCGCAATATATGTTATGATTCCAAATGGGCCAGCATTCTCCGCAGCATTTTGACATAACAAACAGTGAGGCTGTGGAAACCTCCAACCTTCTTGTCCATCCGGATCCTCCATTTCGGCATCACTACATTCGCTACTTTCAAAAGAATTACTCTCCAAAAACAGAGTTTGTTGCATCTTAAATTTTGCCATAAGTTTTTCTTGCCTGAGTTTTGCAATACGTTTCTTGCGATCATATTCCTCTTCATCATTGATTAAACTCAAACGCAACTCTAATTTAACAGGGTCGAAATTATTCACTTGGTCGTTCAAAATTTTTCCCAAACCACCATACTTATTTTCAAAAAGTCTAAAAATGGCACGTATTTTTGAGTGATGCCCCGCAAACTGCTCATTTGATAGAATTCTATAAAGAAGGATTGCTATCGAAGTTCCGTATGTATCCAGTATGTTGACAAATCTGTCGTAAAAAGTACCATACTTCTCTATATCTATATACTGCTCATATGAACAGATATGGATTAGATGTAAAGTTGTTTCTAAAAGACTATCGAGTTCCTTAATACCTTCATCTATGATGTAATTTAAAGTCCTTATCAAATAATTTGAAAAGTAAGATGATGCCGAAAAGTTACCAATATGTCGATACGGTCCAAGGACTTCTGGGTCTTTCAATTTAGGTTCTATAACAATTTCGGATTTTGGCTTGTTAAACTTCTTCAGCAAGCGCTGTTTGACAAATTTAATAGCATCGTCTTTTGTATTCGTGCTATAATTAACATAATACGGATTGATAGCATTATAGTATTCCTCCTTTAGCTTGTAAACTCCTATATCTTTTGCTCCTGTAGGTACTTTGAACTGAGTCATGTCATCTAAAAGTATATCAAATCTCTTATCAGATGTAATATGATCGGGTATTTGACCACAAAGCTGCGTAAAACTCATCGGCCCAAAGCATAAATTGTGAATGATCTCATTTCTTAATCTAGTTTTCGTAACCTCTTCCTCCTTAAGCCCTTGTAAATAAAGATCCTCCGTCAACAAATGTATAAAAAAATTTAAACACTCTTCCAACATATAGGGTAAAGTCTTACCGTCGTAAACCAATTTCTTAACAGGACCATAAGTTTCATCGCTTTCATAGATTGTATTACCTTCTTCAGAACCAAGAAGCCAGCCATCCATAAAGAGCCAACGACTAAATAATAAAAAGCAAAAAAGATTTGGATTACTAGCGTTAATAAAGACTTGAGTGAGAAACAAATCTCGCAGATACCCACTCTCTCTTAATCCAGTCGTTCTATATAGCTGTAACTGAGATCTCACACTGAATCCATTTCTAACCCAAAATCCAGACTTAATTTGAGAAATCAATACAATTGTCCTGATAGGATAATCAAAAATGGAAGCTAACGGATTGGGGATATCAAGTGATTGATAGCTTCCTAAAGATGATGACGTAACAGATGTCTCAAGAACACTCTTCAATTCTGCGGGTGATGAAAATTTTGACATTTCGATAAGCCAAGAGAGAAAAGAATGAATAGGGTGTAAAAAACTTACTTTCTCAGAATCGATTCGAAAATTCTGAATTATGTTACCATCTATCAATTCTTTAGAAATTTGTTTATCATTTCCAATATTAATATCAACAAATTCTTCAATGAGCCCTGGATAGTCATTGTTTTCGAGTGTCAATAGAAATTGGCTGACATAATTAATCGCATTTGTTGTTAGTGCCCTTTTCTCGTCAATTTCAATGTCTTGGAGGTTATATATACAATGCGCAATGTATTCACCAAACTGGTAGATAACCAGTATTGCATGAAAAAATGCGGTATAATCTGGACTCTCATACTCAACATGATTCTTGCTCTCTCTTTTAATTATCGGTCTACCTTGAAAAAGAGCAAGTATATCACAAGCCATTGGAATTATATTGCTAGTGAAGATGGATTTTGAGTCATGGCTACGACTCAAAATATATCCAATATCAAAAAAAATCTGACCCCATCTTCTGTTTCGCAAACTCTTCATGGAAAGTTCTTGAGAGATATCAACATTTTCTGGTGCCTTAATCTCCTCAGCAGTCAAGAAGCAATATATGGATGCAAAAATCCTTGATATGTCGCCATGCTGTACTATGTAAGTCGCGTTGGAAGGGCAGGTAAATAATTGCGTAGACAAAGTGCACATAATATTCAATTCGGGCTCCCTGTCCAATGTTAAAAACATATCAGCAATCGTTGGGTATATATCAACATATTGACACGAAATGATGTGCTTATAACTAAGATTAGTTATTAGAGAAGTCGCGAACATATCATGCAACAAAGTTCTGATAGATTTCCAAAACCTAATATCTAGGTAGACGAAGTATTGAAACCTAGATCCCCAATGACTCTTTCGAAGGTCATAATCTTCATCAGTTAAGTTATAGTTACACTCTTCACATACTTTAGGCTCTAAATTCCACTTGCACGGCTTGAAGTACCAATGAGATTGGCTCTTTTTTGTATTATTAGATGGAACTTTGGGTATTTTTAAGCTTGCATCTAATGTTCCCACCTCGTATTGATAGTCCAAATCACTTCTTGAGTAATGTGCTAAGCCCTTGGACCATTTACAGCAGAAAGCCCTACAAAATAAGTCTTTGGCATGATTATTTATCTTGAACATCTCGCTTTCAGTCAAATCATTTAGCCAAACCAAAACTTCATGACACATATCCTCTCGAAAGGCATCCCTATGACTACGTATACAAGTTGCTAAACCAGTGGCACCCAAAATCTTTTGCCTCTCTTGAAGAAGAGGAATATTCCTAGAGCTTATGACTTTTGCCTTACCGTGATTTTGAACTTCGTCTGTTACCATTACAGCAAACTGTGTTACTTTTTTGCTTGCCAAATGAATTCTTTGAACTGCATCACGATAATGTCTTATCTGATCATTGTAAACTATTAGATAGTATTGATCATTATTCTCATCAACCACCAGATCATCGTCATAGCCGTACTTCGTAGGACATAACATACTCATAATGTTACTTAGTTCAACTTTTGATATATCTGATGCATCTGAGTTATAGAACTGCAAATTCGAATGAGATATAATATCAATCACAAAATCTAATAAAACTTCTATCGTTTTAAAAAATGATTCCCCTAAACCGTCAGGTAAGGGCCGACTTCGAAGCTCACTACTCTTTTCTTCTTGAATTCCGTAATCACATATAAATTCCTTGACCCAAGCTTCAGGGTCTCCACAGTCACACACTCCACCATTCTCTCTTTGACATATAGTGATATGCAAGTTATGGCCTACGTGATGCTCTGGTTGATAACAATGGGAGCACAAGGCACAGGTATCATCATAACCACAAGTCAAACACCTAATAATAGGCTCTCCTTTTCGAAATATCCTAGCACAAGGCAGGTTCGAATGATATGCGTGATGATTGTGAGTATTAAATTTGGGATCTCTGGCTCTCAACTCAGAGCTATAATAATTGGAAAACAGCCACTCGAATTCCTGTCCCACTCGTTCTATTAGTTCATTCTGGCCGAGTTTATCTTGTGAATCACTAGAAGCACTAGGAAAAAACCAATCTAAATATTTGCCTTCATCTGAGATGGCTAAAAAAAGTGCTTTCCTTACTCTTGTTCTGACTTCATCCGTAAACTCAAAGCTGCTTTCTCTAGGTAATGAAAAAATGAAGCGCCTGAGGTTGTCAACAGACATATTAAAGAAGCTGCCACTTCTATGTATGATTTCAAATATACAAGTGTAAGAATATTTGCAAGTATTTATGGCGCCACCAAATTTATTTCATATCGCAAAAAATTAGATCGACTTTTGCCTATTAGATACGGTTTAATTATTATATCTCTGAACGATCAAATATCATAACGAGCTAGAATAGTACCTGACAATATGAGTAATGAAGAAGTAATATATTATGGTGGGAGCCTACAAGCTAACCAAAAGAAATTACAGCATGTCTATGATGTAATGTCACTTACTCTAGGTGTCGGTTCCGGAATATTGATGCTTGAAACTTTACAAGGCTTCTTATTTTATTTGGTAGGAATTAGCATAACTAATGTTGCATTTTATATGATGTGCTGTGAGAAGTCAGCAAGTAGGTTTTTCAGAAGCCCATTTCAAGAAATATTCATTAATGGTATCGTATCAAACGCTGCTGGGTATGTGATGATGTGGTGTTTAGTTTATGCTTTGGTGAAATGAAAATGAGAAAAGTTATAATTGAGAAATGAAATCAGCTGTTTGTTAGTTGTTAGATTGCGTGCTTACGATTCGTCATAAATCCAGACTTGTACAAAGGGTGATGATTTTTAATTGCATTCTAGAAATTCGTCGCAATTCTACTTTAATATGTTATCTTAAATATTTACGTATTGCAAATAGTCAGTCAATTGCATTAAACTTGGAAAGACCTATGTTCTTATCTTTCCAGAGTAGTTCATAATCTATGTTTTTTCATGAACACGTAGTAGCAAGTAAAATTGAGGACTTCGCGTTCCACGAACTTCGGTTTCTAAATTTATATTGGTTCTTTATTCAACTGTTGATGTAAATTGAACTGAATTTCTTTCACAGAATATAAGTAACGATGGAAAGGATTGATTTATCCACTAATTCAAAGAAGATTGAAGAGTCTTATGATAAGATCGTAAGGGGGGACCCATCCATTTCCTATATGGTTTTATCAGTAGACAAAAGCTCAACACTCGAAGTTAGTGAGACTGGAAATGGGCCATTGGATGAATTTGTAGAGAATTTCACAGATGGCCAAGTGCAATTTGGACTTGCTAGGGTGACAGTTCCAGGATCAGATGTATCTAAGCACTTACTAATTGGCTGGTGTCCTGATAATGCACCTGCGAAGTCTAGGTTGTCTTTCGCAGCGAATTTTGCGGAAGTATCGAAGGTTCTAAGTGGATATCATGTCCAGGTGACTGCTAGAGATCAGGATGATTTGGATGTTGATGACTTGATTCATAGAATTGGGGCTGCTGCTGGTGCTAGATACTCTGTCCAAAGCTCAAGTGCTGCTAAACCTGTTGCTAGAACTATTACACCATCGAAACCTACAATTACGAAGCTGGCTCCAAAAGCTCCTGCAAAGCCATCTTTCATACCAAAATCTACTGGAAATCCTATTTCTCCCGTTCCTACGAAATCTACCTCTGCTGCTCCCGTTCAATCGAGATTCGGAAGTCGTGGCGTCGATGATGAAGACGAGTGGGACGGAGAGAAAGAACTAAAGGAGCGTGATTTTGAGAAGGAACCTTTGCAAGATGTTCCTTCATCTTATAAGCCCACAAAAGTCAACATCGCAGAGTTGAGAAAACAGAAGTCGGATACCATATCCTCGCAACCAAAAGTCGCTCCCTCTTTAAACGAAACTAAACAAAATGAAAATGGGAACAAATCCTTGAGCGACAGGATTAAGACCTTCAAGTCTAACGAAGAAAGCTCCGATGGTAGATTGACTTCTTTACCGAAACCAAAGGTAAGTAATTCCGTTGCTTCTCGTTTTAAACCACAAGCAGATACTTCAGGTCCATCTTTTGGAGCAAAGCCCTCATTTGCCCCAAAACCGTTTGATGCAACAGAAAAGTTGGCCGGTGGATTATCACGTAATTTTGGTTCAGAAGGTGGAAAGACTCCTGCCCAAATTTGGGCGGAAAAGAGAGGAAAGTACAAATCAGTCTCCCCCGAATCAGAGTCGCTGCCCACAGTTTCAGGAAACACTGAACTAGAAGAAAAGTTTGCCGAAAAAGCTTCCCTTGAGGAAAGTGTTCCTGAAAGTGTGCCATCTACTATCAAACCATCATCATTTCCAACGCCACCTACAAGAAATTATCAAGCTTCAGAGCCTAAACTTGCCGATAAAGAAAAGGCAGTTGTCGAAGATGCTCCTGTGCTTTCTACCAGGTCGCTTCCTCCACTAAATGCTGCTCAACCAGAACCCAAGAAGGAGCATTTTGAAGCCCCGCCAAGCCTTCCTAACAGAGCTGTGGTTCCTCCTCCACAAGATAAGATTCCGGAATCACAAGAGTCACAAGAAGACGAACAAGCAGATGAATTACCCTCAAAGGATCATAGTAGTAAAGAGGATTTGGCCACTGCTATTGCTGAATATGATTATACCAAAGATGAAGATAATGAGGTTGATTTTGAAGAGGGTGACGTAATAATTGAAATAGAATTCGTGGACGAGGACTGGTGGTCTGGTAAAAACTCAAAAACAGGAGAGATTGGATTGTTCCCTGCTTCTTATGTTAAATTGCAAGAACAGGAGCAGGCTGCCGCAGAGCCATTACCAGAGACGAAAGCATTACCAGAGACGAAAGCAGCCACTTCGAAACCTACGGCAACTGCAGAGTATGACTACGAGAAGGACGAAGATAATGAAATTGCTTTTACTGAAGGTGATATTATTGAAGACATTGAATTTGTTGATGAGGACTGGTGGTCTGGAAAGAACCCCAAAAGTGGGGAAATTGGATTATTTCCAGCTAATTATGTTAAACTCAACAATTAAAGTTTCAGGATTTGTCTGATGATCTCTAATTAGTTAATTTTTGTTTCTTAGAAAAATATTATATTCTTAAATACTGCTTCACTGCCTCGCCCCAAGCATCCCTCTTTTTGTAAAAAGCTATCTCGTCAGGGAGCGAATCAATAGCTCTTGTAAGCTCTTCCGCGAGACCCTCTTCTTTAACTTGACTGATTGGTGTTAAAAAAGTTCTCACAGTCATGATATTTGCTCTCAGTTTTGGTAACCTCGTAAAAATCTGTCTCTCTACTCTTAAAAAGCAACCGTTTTCGAAGTCTATGTCACTCATCGCTAAAGCCTCGATCTTTTGACCCTCATAAGCATGATTTTCATGGAGACTGAACCTTGATGCATGAGTCTGTATGGACCAATTGTGTCTAACCCATAAATCTTTGGGTTCTAGCCGATTAAAGAATCTTGTCATTGAGAGCTTGAGGCGACTTTCATATTGAGGTACAGGGCCATGGATGAAAGAGATGGGCTTATTAAAGTGTTTGCTGGGATCAAATCCTGCTGGAAACCCTGTGACACTAGCTCTTAGAATATACTCCTCTTCTTCGTTACTGGGGTTATCTTTAATTAAAATTAGGAAGTCTTCTTCAATATTAGCAGCCAAATACTTGAGTAGAGTTCGAGGAGCAATATCATAAGGTTTTAAAGGAAACTCCTCGCCATTTATTAGGTTTGTGACAAGACCATTTTCAGACTGAAAGTACTGAGGATACCTCTGTAAAAGGTATTCGACAACCTTTTCATAAAATTCACAAAGTGCTAGTTTGGAAATCTCGTTGTCATATACATGTGTCGTATTTCCTGGAAATTTAGTGGTGTACTCTTTTCTAGCTTTCGTTTGTTCAACATATGTATTTTCTATCAAAAGCCAATCTTCCGGAGTTTTAGCTAAATTGCTTATTCCCATAGATACATTAAAGTTCTTTTTATTTACGAATGGTCTAATAGGACGGGGGCTTGTTTCCTTCCAATTAAAGTCATCCCCTATGGCAGCAATAACGGGCTGTGGACCCTTATCACTCGTGATTTTCTTATCACCTTTTTTGACATTTGATAATTGACTGCTTATTGCATAGACCACTAAAAATAAAAACAACAGGAAGACCACAATCAGAAATGTACCCATGGCTGTAGTGCTTCTCATTCACTAAGAAAGGTTAAAAATTCATACGTTGAGACGATCAACTATACATATGTAGCAGAAGGAATCGGGACGCAGATCCCGATCTGCTATCTCTTATCGGTCTAGGAAGCTTTAACCGAAGTAAGACTCAGATTCAAAATGCAAAACATATTTCGCTACACTTAAGCATTCTCACGACGTTTGACACTCTCGTATAAGATATATTACAAGGAACCATAATAGCTAGTATATAATAAAAAGATAGCTAATCCTCACCGATCAAGAAATGAAAAGAAAACTATAATGTAAATGCGACCACAATGAATTAAATCCACATATCATGGAAAGTATTGAGTTATCAATCGCTTGAAAGACTCAATAATAGTGACAGTGACACATACTGAAGGCAAAATATTAAGTGTGTCATTGGGCCTGAATTGGTTTAAAGTAAATGTCTATCTGTAAAGTTAGCGACGCGTTATTCGTTTGAGCTGTTTTCAGGAGCTGGGCTCACCTCTCCACCCTGAAAACTTTCATGTTCGTCATTCGCTACCAGACTAAGCATATCTTCAAACCGCTCCTGTCTATCCTCTTCAACTTCTCCAGACTCATCATTAGTCACCAGAATTGGGTCCTCTCCATTACTATAAGAGGGTGGTTGATTTGGAGGTAAAAGGCTATTAAGTGTAATTCTTTCATCATTAGAAAACAGATCACTGTATGCATTATAACTGAACTTATCAGGATCTACTGTGCTGTCCTCCTTCTTGCTAGGGTCGCCTTCATGAACGTCCCAAAAATCAGGAGGAAAGTCGTCTTCTCTCTCGCTTAGGTCATTGTCATCGTCTATCTCAGACCTTGCTAGCAAAATATCTGAATTGAATTTATTATAAGCTGGGGGTGCTGGTCCATTTCCTTCAAGAGGCGCAAACCCCCACTTTTTAACATTACCTTCGATAAACACGAAACCCATTTGTCCCAAATTGACATGAACAGAACATAAGTTGTTGGCCCCAATTGTCGGAAAAATCTGACCGCCGTTAGGGATCTTGAAGTTCTTCACATGACCTCCTATCTTTGATTCACTGACCTTCTTTCCATTTCTAGTAAAAAAGACTGTCCCGCTTCTAACCCTGTAGCCCACTCCAATTACATCACCCTTAACAAATGTAGGAAAAGGACTTTCATTGTTAAATTTAAATGGTTGATTGTGTCTTCTGTATCCATCAGAATCATAGCTCACGGAGTAGGGGTGCCTTCCGGGTAATCTGAACCACGGGTAAGGTTTTATAGCAAGACCCACAGATATTTTTGTATTCTCGGGATCTGGTAAAGAGTATATCTTGCTCTCAAAATAATAAACATCATTTTTCATTGGTATTGGTAGGTTTGTTTGAGAAGAACACTCGAATTGCTTAAAAAAATTTAACTCTGTTTTATTGATGATCATCAAATCATTGTTAGTCAACATAAGATCTTTTTGAAATTCAAAAGCCATGATGCCTTTCTCTTGTATGAGCAAGTTCTGCGATAATGTTAACTCATCTCTTAGATATGGATTCGCCGTTAGATAGTCCTTAGATTGAAAATAAAGTTCCTGTTCGTCGGAGTTGAGTTCTAAATATGCTTGATTTTCCTCCTCCCTCATGAGATCATCCTCTGAAAGCCTAAGCTTGCTTCTCACGATACAAAACGCTATAGTAGCAATAGAAATGACGAATATCATTATCACAAGCGACAAAATGGATATAAGCATTGCATCATTTAATGAACCATTTGACTTGATCCGGAAGCTCACTCTGGTTGTCAGACTAGGGGTGTCCTCCCGTATAGACGACGCCATCTTTTTACTACAAGTCCTGATTGTGTTTGACTTAGTTGGATGGGACTTGTACAAGTAAAATACTCATCCTGTTAAATTTGCTTGCCTCAGTTCTCAATAACCCTTTTCCTTCATCTATCTTATGCTATATGCAGGCTCGCGTATATAATTTCGGCTTTCCTAAAAGCTTTACAGAAAGAAAACTAGCATGGTTCCTGGTCTGGTCACGCTCGCGAACCTATAGGCCCTGGTCCGCTAGTGAACTTGAATAGAACAAGGGCTCCAAGAGTATAGAAGAAAAATTCGGTTTTGTGAATAAGCAGAACAGCTCTAATAGGTAAAATAGATAGCAATTCGCCTATTTAACAATTAGGAGAGGCGGACATGGCTTTTAAAGTCTATATAACGTGTGGGCTTGCGAAGCCCTGTTCTCTATGTATAGTCGCTAAATATTTCTCCAGTAGTGGCGCAGAGTGAGACGCACCGAGCCGTCACTGCTTGGCCCTCTAGCATTTGAAAAAGTGGGCTATGAGGTTCACTATTTACCGTCAAGAATTTTAACGACAGGACTAAAACGGCTTCTTTACTGAATTGAAGCATTTACAATTAATTATCAGTTTGAAACACGCGAGAATCTTTCACTTAGTACTTAGTAGGTAAAAATGCAATTGCTCACTCGTGTCTAATAAGTTTTAATGTGGTCGAAAGTCGCGTAAATTATAGTGTATGTGTAGTGTGTGACTACGGGGAGCAGTCAATTTTTCTTAAAATGTATGACGATGCTTTTAGGTGTTTTGTCCAGCGATCCCTCCTTCGAGGTTTCGCGTTCTTACTAAATTTAGATATTTGATTCCCTTGATGCAAATAATTACTTCGGACTGCGACATATAATAAATCTATATAAGGTTGTCAAAATCATGACAATAGATGTGGAATACCAAGTTAATAATTTCATTCCACAGCGATGCAGTTCAAATTAACGTTAGCGTTGTTAGGCGCTCTCTTCTCATTAGCAAAAGGTGATGATTGCGATCCTTTGAAGTCAACAGACTGTTCTGCAGATACAGCGTTAGGTTCTTCGTTCAAGGAAGATTTCTCAAGCAAATCGAAGTATTTTTCAGAAGTCGAAAGCCTGGGATTACTGTACAGCGATACTGGATTGGAGTTTAATTTATCAAAGAGGCTCGAAAACCCCACAATCAAGTCGAACTTTTATATCATGTTCGGCAAAATCGAGGTAGTGATGAAAGCTGCAAAAGGAACTGGTATAGTATCATCCTTCTATTTACAGTCTGATGATCTTGATGAAATAGATATTGAGTTGCTTGGGGGTGATACAACTCAGTATCAGTCTAATTACTTCTCTAAAGGAAATACCTCAACCTATGACAGAGGTGAATATCACAGTACGCCGAAAGATCCTACGGAAAATTATCTTACATATACTATTGATTGGCAAAAAGATAATTTGACATGGTCAGTCAATGGCGAACAGAACAGAATCCTCCAGAGTACTAATTCCCAAGGATACCCGCAAACTCCTATGTTCATCAAGGCAGGCGTTTGGGCTGGTGGTGATTCATCGAACGACGAAGGAACAATTGAATGGGCAGGAGGTTCGACTGATTACTCGGATGCTCCGTTTTGCATGTACATCAAATCATTAATAGTCACTGACTATTCTACTGGTAAGAAATACTCATACAGTGACCAATCAGGTGACTGGTCATCAATCAAGGCAGAAGATGGTAAGGTTTACGGTAGGTATGAACAAGCTATAGAGGATTTTGAGAAATTAGCGGACGGAGAATCCATATCAACTTCGGCTTTCAGTGCAGAATCTGATATCGAAACTGGCACTGCTCTGTCTTCATTGGCCCCTTCATCTTCAAGTGTATCAGCAACTGCTTCTAAAACTTCTGAGACTTCGTCAAGCATAACGTCTTCGTCTAGTGAGTCCTCTGGTTACTCTTCATCTGCCATTCCTTCGAGTACTGAAAGCTCGAGTTCAGCTGATTCAAAAACTTCTCTGAAAAGCGCCACCAAATCATCCAACAAGTCCCTTGCTGCTGATGCTACCACTGCAAGTTCGAATTCAAAATTGACATCAGAACCATCAACACATTCTGAAAGCAGTACGTCAAGCTTACCGCTGGCTTCAGAGAGTCTGGATTCTTCAGGGAGTGGTGCAGGAATTTTCATGAATCCGTTGTATTTATTAATTGTCAATACTCTCTCTTTGTTATATTTGATTTGAGAGGCATCTTACTAATTTATGTATTAAATAATGTCACGACTAAAATAGAATTAAATGACAGCTTACTGAAAGCTCTCCATTCCTAGTAATTGTAAAAGCTCTCTTTGGCTTAAGTGATTTGGATTTTTGATACCCTTATTATCAAGTCTATCAGATGTTATAATCGAAGCCAAGTCTTTCTTTCTGGCTTGCAATTTGAGAATTTTCTGTTCTACAGAATTTTCAATTGTCACTATATAAACATCCACAGGATTAGCTTGGCCCATTCTGTACACTCTATCAATAGCTTGCTCTTGGATAGAGGGATTCCAATAAGGATCTAAAATGATAACTCTACTTGCGAAAGTTAAGTTGAGGCCAACGGAAGCACATTTTAATGAACATAATAATACAGTTTTCCTTGAGTCCTCTTTTGCTTCTAAGAGAGTATGATTTCTCGATTCTAGATTCATGGAACCTGTAAACACCAAGGGCGAGTATCCTTGCCGTCTTAAAAAAGGTACCAAGATGTCGAACAAAGAGGAAAATTGTGAAAAAATTATAGTTTTTCTTTCTTTGTCTTTACTGAGAATATCCATCAAAGCCTTGAATTTTGCCAGTACAAAACTCAGTTGTTCACTTTTAGGACTTTTGAGGTCCAATGAATTTTGACAAGGAGCACACATACTACCATTGTCACCTTTTTCTAAACTGTTCGAACAAATGCAGCATATTTTTGAGTCTACGGACAATTTTTCTAAGCTTTTGCTTAACTGGTCAACATCATCCGCAGTATGAGGTTTCATCGTTTTCAGAAGACCTTCGCTTAAACATAGCTCATCATCAGTCTTTTCCACTTTTTCAAGCAATAATTCCCAACTGCAGCAAAGTTGTCTCAATCTCAAAAGCATTACAAACGCCGAAACATAAGATTTTGAATCGATTTTCAAAATGCCTTTCTTGAGCTTAAATTTTGTATTATCACTGACAGAACTAGTTATGCTTTTACCATACAATCGACTAGCAATAATCCGACTCAAGTTTTCATAGAGTTGCTTCTCAAACTGTGAAAACTTTATCATGATATTAGTCTCAGTTTTACGAGGTAAAAACAAGTTAGATTGAATTCTCAAGATATCTTTTGTACGCCTGAGCATCAAGTATTGCAACTCAGTTTTCAAAGTCTTCACCGCTATATCAATATCATGTTTTTTCAAAGCATCTGAGACAAGACGTCTCCAATGCTCGTCATTTGATAGCTTTGAGACTTTGATAAATATGAACAAAGAATGCAATTCAGTCAAGTTATTTTGTATAGGGGTACCTGTTAAACACCACCTTCGGCTCCCATTTAAGTTAAAAGTTGCAACGCTTTGCTTAGCCTTCTTATTTTTTATATTATGTGCTTCATCTAGAATTACTCGCCACCATTTTATACAATGTAGTATAGAATTATCACCAAGTATGTATTGTTGGCTAAGTGTACTATAGGTGGTAAGTACAGCATCATATTTTGTTAGCTCTTCAGATTTTATGTCTTTTTGTTTCCCGTGAAATATATAAACTTTCAACTTTGGTGCCTTATTCTCAATCTCACTTTTCCATTGATTTAAAAGTGATAAAGGACAAACAATTAAGTTCGATTTAGTATATGGTTTGGTTGCAGCACGCAGGAGCATCAATGATATCATTTGAACAGTTTTACCAAGTCCCATATCATCGCAGAGTAGACCACCTTTATATTCACCGGGAAGATTCTCTCTTTGTTCGAGGAATTTCAAACCTGATAATTGATGAGGAAAAAGCTGGACACTTAACCCTTCTGGTCCACTTGAGGTTATATATTCTTGTGCCTTTTCATCTGGACTGGATTTGTAAACTTGGTTTATTCCTCTTTCCTTGAACTCGTCGATCTTTGAGTGAAGGACATAATGCTTTGGAATGTTTTCACTATCAGGCAGATTTAAAGGCTGTTTGACTTCATGGGAACTTTTAGATTCTTTTTTATGACGACCTAAGCTTTTGTATTCCTTTTCGAAACTGATGCTTTTACGTTCTTTGTTAGGAGACCTTACGAGTTGATGCTTCACCAAGACCGATGGCTGTAGATGTCGACGGCTTGCAGATTTAATCGATCGTCTCTCATTTCTATATGGTTCCATATCAGCACTAACCGCCGTAAACGTATCTCGGTCATCTGTTGATGAACTTCGCTGCTCCATATTAATATATTTTTAATCAAATCTCAGGTATCTCTTTTCTCATCATATACTACCCATTAATAAATATTTATACCATATTTCATGTGCTAAGTTCTCTGGTCCTATATTTAAGCAAGCAAGAATCAATACTTTGTTGTGTTCAGCAACACATAGAGAGCAAAGTTGAATATTGAAGATAAAAAAAAAAATACGACCCCGGTGAGGATCGAACTCACGATCTTGAGATTAACAGTCTCACGCCTTAGCCAGCTTGGCCACGGAGTCATATTAATTTTGTTCGAGACTAAAAATATTCTAGCGTTAAAGTATCTTCTTTCATTTCATTAGTTTCTAGAATAAGGCGATAATGTCTGTTTCCAATTAGAAGTCTACGAGCAAGCCCTTAAAATACTACTTTAGTTTACCTGTTATGTCATAATTTTCCTTAACTAAAAAATATATAAGCTTTTGAAGACTATTGGTATCAGAATTTAATCTAAATTTTTGCGTGTTTTAGAATCAATAAAATCAAGAACGTAGAGTTAAAGCTTTCCCTTTAAAATTTACAGCTCAAAGAGTACTTGAGGTCACTGTTAGAATCCCAAACACCCCAGTGTTTTTCAACAGAAGAGATACCTGATGTGTCTGGTTTCCAAGCTTCATCAAAAGCTTCAAAAACAGCAACGTTAATACCCCAGCCCCTAATAGCACAGATAGCTTCTTGCCAGAAGCTCTTAGCATTGGCAGTGGATGGCTGAGCAGACTCGAATGCTGATCCATCTGTTGGCCAGCCAGTCTCTCCAACCCAGAAGTTGATGTCAGTCAGACCTTTGACAGTTTGAATAACTTGCAAAGCCTGCATTATGTCATCAAAGAAAGAGTATGAAGCATTATTCATGGTCTGTCCTTGCCAGTATGAGAAGGCATTAGAAAAAACAAAATCTGCTTCTTGAATTGCTGGCTTAGAACCACCATCAACTAAAACGTTCCATGAGTCAACAGTACCTACTTGGCTTGAAGAATAAGAGTTACCATCTTTGTCCTTGATGTCTTTGATCAAATCCTTAATTTCAGAAATTTTGCTTGCCAATTCAGTAGCAGTCAAATCATTTCTATACAAAGCTTCTGACCCAACGAGAAAACCTTTGACTGTACTTGTCAGAATCTTTGGAAGGTATTTCTGCAAGGCCGCCTTCTCAGCTTCAAAGTGAGAATCATCAGTGGGCCAAATACCGAACATCACTTGAAAACCAGCTTCTTCAGCAGCTGGTCCCAAGTTCTGCAAAGTATTACAATCAGACACAGCGTAAGTCTTGACAATCTTAGAGTAAGAACTCAAAGTTGACAAGTCGGTAGCGTATTCTGAGGAAGTCTTACAGTTACCGGAATTATCTTTAACACCCAAGTTGAATGCAAGCTAGAAATCGTTAGTATTTAATCTCCTGTGGAATCTTCACAAAAAAAAATTTTGAGACTTACATCACCGATAGCGCTAGTCACCGAGATGGCACCAGCAAGAGCAGCTAAGTATTTGAACTGCATTTTTGAAATCTAACTGAAACAAACGAATGAATATTAGCTAGCTGTTTCGAAATTAAGCTAAACCCTGTTCAAACTTTTTTAATGTTTTTTTATATTTATTGCTCAGAATCGTTGTGCGGGCGTGGAATCAGAGTTTTGCAAAGAGAAACAGTTCCAGAATTTCCAAACAAATAAACTTTTGTGGAAAGCTACTATATTTAGAGTGCTGACATTTACTGTAGTTTCTTATGCCTTATTTGCGATGTTTCCCGGTAAAATTGGCTACAAAAAACCTTTGGAGCACGAGACTGCGCGTCTTTTCATTAGAATTATGCCGAAGCTCGCTACTATTTGTTCCAGACCAATCCTAAAAGGGAAAGTATACATCCGGGTAATGCTTTTAAGTCGGTTTTGCTGCATGGTATTAACGGGATTGGGAAATTTACATACCAAAGAGAGCTTACTGTGAGACAATTTACTGAGTAAAGGATCTGTGCTAGAGCGAGAGCCTAGCCCCCTCCAAAGTTTAGCTACCCGAGATTCAGTAGAGGCTCACCAAGTAACTAGACCTGTATTAATATTATACACAGGATAGTATATTTCACACGATTAGTATTTATCGGCTCTCCTATTAACTGTATAGTTTTGTGAGAGAGATTGTTACACCATCTTCTATTCTCGCTCCTTCTGGTATCAGCATTTTTGAATCCATCATCTGTGCAAACGACTGTACACCTTCTAAATTGGAAGCGTCTCGCGAAAAGCTGAGGGAATAGTCATTAGGGTTTCCGAGCACCAACAACACATTAGCTCTATCCGTAATATTAGCTCTCTCAAAAGAAGTCAATCCTTCTGTTTCATCTGGTTTTTCATTCGAGTCAAAGAAGTTGTTACAGTTAACGTAAACAGATGATGAATAACCGTCCGGAAATGAACTCTCTCTGAATATATCGCTAAATGATTTGCAGATTCTAACATGGTATCCAAAGGAAGACTTAGCACCGATAACACCGTAAGCCTCCACTGGACTCACAATTTTTTTGTTTTTGAGATCTACTGTAACTCTAACATTAACAGGCACTTGCTGTTCCTTTAATTCCATAGGTTTAGGCTCTCCTATATTGACATATTTGGTTACGGCAAGCTTTTTTAAAGGACTTACTTTCTTGTTATTTTTCTTTATCTTTGGTGTATGTTTTGGTATAGTCAATCCTTCTTTGAAATCTTTGAAAACATTGTTATTAGACATGAATGGTAATGAACTCAACTTAGGCAACTTTGAAGCGTACTTGAATTTCTTATCACACTTGCTCGAAGCAAAAACACTTTTGACTAGATATGGTGGAGTTACAAAATAATGTAAAAGAGCAGCAAGTATCAAAGATTTTTCGTCAGTCTTTTCATTGTTTGGCGACTTTCCTTCTGCTGTTGTGTTCTCTTTGATCTTTCCTGCTGCATTGTCATCAGCAAAATTAAACACAAGTTTTTTTCCACCTTGATCATTTGGAATTGTAATCGCATTCAGCACGGATTCCTTATTTGACTCTATTTTATCTTCTGGGATGCTAAGGATGACTATTTCAGAAACGTTAAATAGCGTTGCTGCCTTTGCAACTTGATATGCAACTGAGGTAGCTTGATCTAAATTTCTTGCATTCGACTCAGATATAATAGTTGAAGGTATGCATAAGGAGCATTGAAATTTTGGGATTTGTTTTACTGGCTTTTTCGTTACCTTCCCAGGTTCGGCATTAGCTTTTCTTTTAGACATAATCGTTATCTATTTGTCTGTTGAGTTCTTACTAGAAATTTTCTATTTCCATCTCATCTTAAAAACGTTTACTGTATACAAGATTCAAATAAAGTAAATACTAAATAGGAAGATCGACGAATGTTAGACTCGAAAAGGCTCTGTACAATATATCATTCGAAGTATAACATTTATAATATTATCCTTAGCTACTATTCTTAGAACCAAACCAAAGAATAAAAAGGCTTACTACTCTTCCTCCTCAGAAACTACACCATTTGCATGTTCTTCTTCTGCTCTCTCGCTTTCTTCCTCTAGCTTAGCAATTTTTGCTTTAGCTTTTTCGATATTGACCTTAGTCTGCTCGTCTTGTTTCTCTTCAAGAGCCTTCAAAGTTTCCTTCAAAGTTTCAACTGTACCTGAAACATCTTCCGATTTGATTGGCAAGGGAATACTTAAGTCTCCTAATGCGACAATAACTTCAGGATCTACGGTGAAATTCTTTGCTTTAGTCTTCTTTTGCTTTGTCTTTTTTGTTTTTGATCCAACAAAGAAAGATTCTTGCTCCTTTTTGATAGGTACAACATCATCTGGCATTTCTATTTTCCGAATGTTGTTTGATGGTGTGTTGTTTGACTCACCATTCAAATCGAAAGTCTTCTTTTGAGGTTTAACGTACGTCGGATCAAAATAGGTTAAAAGGTTGTGAATCGAGTTGATTTCATCAGTGAAAGCTGGAACTGAAGCATCTGCCAATTGTTTTTCAGCTTCTTCTTTCTGTTTCTGCTTTCTTTCTTCAACTTGCTGCTGCTTTGCTTCTTCAGCTCTTTGCTTTCTTTGGTCGGCCATCGCTTTTTTGAAGTTGTCATACTCAGCATCAAAATCAGACCTTAATTTTCTAATGCTATCGTATTTTTCATCCTTAGCTTTCTTGATCTCATTTCTTTTATTGAACAAGGAGTTTCTCTTGTTAACGATTGTTTCGTTTTGACTACTGACACTATTTAACTCCTTCTGTACTCTTTCGAACTCTTGCTGAAGTTCTTTGTTTTGAACAGAGTTTAATTTCTTTTTCAATTCGGCAATTTTTGCCTTGTCTTGATCGATGAGTTCTTGTTGCTTTTCAATAACTCCAAAGTCTTTACGCAATTTACGCAACGATGACATTTCCTTAACGTATCTTCTTTCGTCAGCTAATTTCAAATCACCAGTCTCAATCAACTTATCTAAGTAATCAACTCTGCTATCGATTTCTTGGACATTTTTGAAGTTATTCTTTGAAGTTTGTGCCAGGATCTCGGTAATTTTTCTTTTTAACTGTTGATCAACGTTTTTTATCTGCTCATTGATGGAATTTCTTTCTGCCTTAACACCAGCCTGCTTTGCAATTAACTCCTTCAATTGCAGTTGAAGCTGCTTTCTCTTCTCTATTACCTCGGGGCTACTGACAGTTTTGCTAATCTGAGCATTGATTTCGTTGTTTGTCAAGTCCAACTTTTTAATTTCCGCTTTTAACAGATCGATCTCTACCTTCAAGGCTTGGTTGTCTGGACGCTTGATGTAGCGCTTGTTGTTTTGACGAGTGGCAGTAGCGGTAGACATTTCTAGAATAAGGTGTGAAACTTCGATATATCCTTGAATCAGCTTGTAAAGTTCTTGTCAATCTCTCGATCTATCTTTATCGTAGATTTTACCGTAATGGTGATATATTCTGGTCGTCAAATCGCAGATTTTTCTAATTTTTCATTCTGAAAAATTGTGGTAGTGCGTGACTCACGATTCTGATCTGAATAATGATTAGCAACTTCAGCTAAATCACATTACTAAAAGATTGAAGCTTGCTTCTATACGTATCAATTCTCACAAGCTTTAGTACTTCAACCTTAACATCGAATTTTTTGTTTTCTGGACATCATGTTTAAGTATCCCCAATTCAATTTACAAAAAAATGATGGGCCGATTCAACATCGCGTAGAAAAAAGAACAAAGCATGAAGAAAAAAAATAAACATTTCGTTATTTTCGAGTATCAAAAGCTGTTAAACTACGTTGGGGATAGCAGGAAACTGGGTTTAAGAGCATACTCTCCTCATATTCGAAAACTGTGTGAGCAAAATAGACTTAAACATGGTATCGATTTACGCCCAAATGGTCCAGAGACTCAAGGAAGATGATATCTTGAGTAAGTGGAGGGAAGTGACTCCATTAAAGAAAATATCAGGAATCCCACGGTCTGCGGGATCTGCTAGTGAAACTGATGGCTCGGAAAATGTGTTTGAGGGACATGACGAGGAACAAATCCGACTTATGGATGAATTATGCATTGTATTGGATTACTATGACAAGCCAGTTGGAGCAGGAACTAAGAAGCTTTGTCATTTGATGGAGAACATCAATGGAGGTTTACTACATAGAGCATTTTCGGTATTTCTCTTCAACGAAGATGGGAAATTATTATTACAGCAACGTGCTGATAAGAAGATCACATTTCCAGGTATGTGGACAAACACTTGCTGCTCCCATCCTCTTTGTGTTAGCTCTGAGCTAGGTATATCTTCTGAAAGAGCTACTGGAAACTTGAATAATCTTCCTACAGCTATTGAGGGTGCAAAAATTGCGGCTCAGAGAAAACTAGAGCATGAATTAGGCATCCCTGCTAGTGATTCGCCAATAGAGCGATTCCAATATTTAACAAGAATTCACTATAAATCAGCTTCTGGTGGTGAATCCAGCAAATGGGGTGAACATGAGATTGACTACATCTTGATATTAAAAACAAAGAATAATATCACGTTGGATGCTAATTCTAACGAAGTCAAGGATCACAAATACGTCAGTGCCGATGACTTGAAAGCGATGTTTGAAGACGATTCTTTGATTTTTACTCCTTGGTTTAAATTGATATGTCAAACATTTTTGTTTAAGTGGTGGAGCAACTTAGATGATCTTGGCAAATTCGAAGATGATGAAATTCATCGCTTGCTTTAGATTATTACAGTATATGGCATATATTGGGGTCATTTTGAGTTTAATTTCTAATAGACGAAAACTTTAATATCTCTCTTAAGCAGGAAAACAGCGTATTTAGGGATATGCTCTGACAATTGTAGGTCAGAGTCAAAAAAATCGTAATGTAAAATAACACAAAGTGCGTCTGCTCGCTCCTAAATTTATCGCAGAGCGAACTGCCTCACGTTACACAATCGACTTTCGTAAATGCTTAGTTATTTAATATTTCGTACCATTAAGTAACAAGAGTATTTCATAGTGATTTGATTAATCATGATACCCATTAGGATTGGATCTGTGACTAGGCTGACTTTCGTCCAATGTAGTCGAAGACTCGCTACAGCCGAAACACAGGTTTTTGAAGATGAAGGAAAGAAAAAGGTAAAAGTTGCTTCCAGAAGAAGGTCAACTAAGTTTTCTGATACGCTAAACATGGGTCCTTCTTTTGATGACTTTGTTAGTGGGAAAGCAAAAGATATGATTATTGATCCATTGGAAACTGCGAGAAGTGATGAAAATTTAAGGCTACCGAAATGGTTAAAGGTACCAATTCCCAAAGGACAGTCATTTCACAATTTAAAGAAGGATGTAAGAGAATTAAAGTTAGCGACTGTATGTGAAGAAGCTAAGTGCCCAAATATTGGCGAATGCTGGGGTGGGAAGAAATCGGAAGCGACTGCAACAATAATGTTGATGGGAGATACTTGTACTAGGGGTTGCAGATTTTGCTCGGTCAAAACTAATAGAACACCTGATAAGCCTGATCCTATGGAGCCCGAAAATACTGCTGAAGCAATTAAAAGATGGGGATTAGGTTACGTGGTTTTGACAACCGTTGACAGAGATGATTTAGCAGATGGCGGTGCGAACCATTTGGCTGAGACTGTCATGAAGATTAAGCAAAAGGCACCACAGATATTAGTTGAAGTTTTGAGTGGTGATTTTAGAGGTGACCTTGAAATGACAGGATTACTTTCAAAATCAGGTTTAGATGTTTATGCACATAATATAGAGACAGTGGAAGCACTCACGCCACACGTGAGAGATCGTCGAGCAACTTATAGACAATCGCTTTCCGTATTGAAGAAGGCAAAGGAGGTTAAGCCATCTCTTGTTACGAAGACTTCGATGATGCTTGGACTTGGTGAAACAGATGAGCAAATTTTACAGACACTCAAGGATTTGAGAGAAATAAAGTGTGATGTTGTGACTTTTGGGCAATACATGCGTCCAACTAAAAGGCATATGAAAGTAGTAGAATATATAACTCCAGCGAAATTTGACTATTGGAAGGAGAGGGCCTTGGAAATGGGATTTCTTTATGTTGCTAGTGGGCCCTTAGTAAGATCATCCTACAAAGCCGGTGAGGCATTTATAGAAAACGTTATTCGTAAGTCGAGACACAACGTTGGAGATAGCCCAAGGCTTATTGAATCTGACGATACAAGGCCGTTTACATAGATATATTTAATAAGTGTCATTTTACTCTATTAAAATTGCATAGTTTGTATTGATACTGACCTGTAGCAGCTGCAAAAAATAAAAAATTGGCCGGATCTTAGGCTCGAACTTCTAGTTGCTCGCCATTTTTAGATTTTGGACCCTACAAAATTGTCTCACTTTGATCACACATTTGATCTTGTTCATAACATTGATTTATTTATTTTAACTTTTTTTTACTGTGACAATAAAAGAGAAGCTAGGACTGTTTGGATTTGAGGTAGAATAAGTTTGTAAGCTGTTTTTGCCTTGAATTTAAATACTAGTGACTACAAAATAACAGTTGAGGTAGTCATAAAATGCCCAAATATCGTGATCCGGTCCCAAAGGAAGATGACAGTGAAGAATCTTTGATCTCTCAGTTCGAGACTACTTTGACAATCAAGTCGTCTTCTAATGACATATCCGTAGATGGCGATATATCAATTGACCATACCACTTTGAATTATACTAGGGACGCAACCATACCTGATGCTGACACTTCTAATGAAAGCGATGAGACTAGCGACAATGAAACTACGTTAGAAGATATACAAAAATTCAAAGCTAAAAGGAAATATAGCCTACAGACAGACTTAGCCACTAAAAATCAGGTGTCTAGACCTTCGTCAGCAAGTCCTAGTTATCAAATTGATTCAAATTTTGAACGCCTCTTAGAGCCATCGCCCACGGTGGATTACTCCTTAGAAAAATTCACAAAATCTTTCACTGATTTTTTGGATTCGAATCCCCATATCCGAAGTGAATCACCAAGGTTTCAAAAGGAGTCGAATAAAACTTTAGTCATTTTGTCGCCTTTGTCTCCGGAGCATGCGTTTGGCAGAAAATGGGTCACGAAATCTTTCTTATCTACCATCTTTGAGCGTCCTCAAAGGCTCTTGGCATCTTGTATTGGGGTGTCTGCGGCATTAACTATGTATCCATTTTATTACAAGTTAATTAATTCTACGAAAAAGGGTTCCGTCTTTTCTAGCCATGTCCGAAAAATTCATGGAAAGAATTGGCCAAAGAAATTATTCGAATTGTGTTTGGATTCTCATGAGAAATTAAGCAAAAATGAGTTAGAGGTCCCAGAGGATTGGAATACAGGGGATATTTACCTCACTCCAAAGACTATCAACGCAATAGAAGGTGTTATCGGTACTGTTGAAACTGCTGTGGATGAGTTGTTTGAGAATAAAAATAACAGTCATAACTTAGCGTTTGTTGTGATCAGACCACCGGGCCATCATTCGCATGCTTGCCTTCCCAGTGGTTTCTGTTTAATCAATAACGCTCAGATCGGAATTGAATATGCTTTCGAAACATATGGCGTTACCCATTGTGCTATCCTAGATATAGACTTGCATCATGGTGATGGGTCCCAAGATATTTGTTGGGAAAGAGCTGGGTTTGAAGGTGACTATGGGAAAGATGAGGATGATGAAATCGATTCGGAATCTAATCAAAGAGACGAATACGGTAAGAAATTTGCAACCTACCCCAAAGTCGGCTATTTTTCGTTACACGATATAAAATCATATCCTACTGAATTGGGTTACGCGACTAAAGAAAATATAAAGAATGCTTCGACGTGCATAATGGACCACGACTTGAATATTTGGAACGTACATCTCCATGAATGGTCAGTAGAAGAAGAGTTTTATAAACACTATCAAACCAGATATGTTCAAATTTTGAACAGAGCGAACCAATTTTTAAACAATGCAAAAAGGCAGCACGACAAGCAAGAGCAGCAATATTTATTAGACTTTGCTAAGTATAACAAATATCTTGCTAAACCCAGTTATTACGGTACTCCTGTTCCTGAGCCAACTCCACCACCTCCATTTAAGCCATTGATTGTTATTTCGGCTGGATTTGATGCGCTGGAATACGAAAACCCACTCATGCAGCGCCACAAGATTAATGTTCCAACTTCCTTTTATGCTACATTTACTAAAGATGTTGTGAAGCTAGCCAATATCCATACGTCTGGTAAAGTTCTATCTTTTTTAGAAGGAGGCTATTCCGACGGAGCTTTGACAACTGGCATTTTTTCCCATCTTATAGGCTTGATAAGTGATGAGGAGCCATCATGGAACCAAACTTGGGGAAGCGAGAGAGTTATGAAGGAATTGACGAAGGGTTGCAAGGCAAACTGGACTCCGTACAAGAACCCTCAATCGGATATAACTGTATGGGCGAATGAGGTTATAAAATTGGGTAGATCCATGATGCCTAATGCAATCTTGCCACAAAATTACATTTATCAGTATAAGGACCCTTCAGAACAACGCCCGGTAAGCAAGATGGTGCAGGCAATTATTGATGATAATGCTGATGTGCCAAAAAGCCCCATAAAACAGGATCCAGAAGACTTAAGACGTATTTTAAGACATACTCGTTCGTATCACAATAAGAAGATTCAAACAAAATGATATAATTTATTTCTCTTTTTCTTAGATTTACAAGACATCTTTTACAGCATTTTGATTTCAATCCCAAGTTCATAAATAGTATTTAATTAGCATAAGATATATTTTTAATAAAATCAATGTCCTGGATAATAAGTGGAGTCCATAATCATCAGGCATCATCAGAACGTGATACTTATTACATTATTTTTTTTAATTTTTTTCGTATGCTCGCGTTCGTGCAGTTATTGTAAGAGTTGTAAAAGAATACTTCTTTGTTGTGGCAATCAAACAGGGTCTTTAAACCATTAGATCATCTAAGGTGATCATTTAAAAGGTTGAATATGTATGAAGACTTTGGTCGAAACCCTCTACAACCTACCTTGCAAACAAAGCGAATTACTCAAGAACTACCACCATCCGACCCCAACTTTGATCGTTCAAAAGTGACAGATGATGAATTTATTGAAAGATTACTATTCGAAAATCGAGAGCTCCAAGATTCGCTACGTCAATACAAAAGAGAAGTCGAAGCTTTAGAAGAAACGATAAGGGGATTCAAAGTGCTGGCACTGATTTCGAAACATAATGGAGATTCTTCCTCCACAAAGGGCCCACATGCATCGAATACATCAATCGACGATACAGCTGACACAACCATTGTGAATGAATCCAACATTGTTCCAAAATTAAAAGACATAGATGAGTTGTCTTCGGCGATTACTACAGAGATAAGTGACGTTCCTCAAAGATCTGCTAGAAGAAGGGCAAGTTTACGGGTCGAGTTGCCTGGACTGGATGCTGTCAGTGGGCGGCCTAGCTCCCCTTTAGAGAAGAAGATGACTGGTTCAGATTCTGTGATCAACCATATGTCCAAGAGGTCACCTGAAAAATCAGAGAGCACCAATCCCTTTTCCAACAGGTCTTCTGTCTATTCTGATGAAGAAAGACTGGTTTTAAAAAGTAGGCCTTCAAGTAAACCAGATTTCTTGGGTATTGCTGCTGAAAACAAAAGTGAATCGGTGGAAGATGAAATCGATAGAATTAAAGAACCTGTTAATCTGCCTAAGGAGCCATTAAGTACGAGTGAACTTGTGGCAGAAGAATCTGAAGAACCTGATAAAACTCAAAGAACTAAACAGCCGGCCATCCTGCCTAAAAGATCAATAAATACAAGCGAGTCTGTCGTAGAAGAAGCTGAAGGGACTGACAATATTAAGCAATCTGCTATTCTACCTAAAAAGCCAATAAATACGAGCTTCAGTGCATACAAATCAAGAATAAGGTTGCCTTCTAGTATGCAACAACAGCTTCCTTCAAAGGACGGTAGTTTCGCATCCTCCAGGGATAGTATTAATAAGACTCTGTCCCCTTCAAAAGAATCAGGTGAGTCCTCGGCCTTCGTCAATAATAGTCTGAATTCTGTGACAAATTTAACTTTGGATCCACATACACAAACAAGTGATAATATCGATATGGATAAAACTTTTTCTTCTTCGCGCTTCAATAATGGTAATATTTCAAATGATAAGCTTAGCACAAGTCTCGATGAAGACCCAGGTAGTCAAGTCTCGTCCCCGGGAGTTAATTCTAAGCAATATTTCACTTCAGTTCTAAATAAATCTGACTTTGAATCTGAAGTACTCAGAACTCCTATTTCAGCCAACTTCACTTCCACGGATTCTCTTGGATTCTCTAAGAGTAACAGTAGCTTCCAAGTTTTACAATCGCCTAGACCTGAGGAAGATGATACTCCGTTGTTCATTAAGCCGGAAGAGTTTCAGACAATTGAAATTGTCGTTGTCAGCACAATTCACTTTCCTGTTTCCTCATCATCATCTAAGGATCCTAACTGCACCATATCTATTAATGATAGAAAAAGCTCGAAAGAAATGTGGAGAATCAGAAAATCATATTCGCAATTGGTGGCATTCGATAATGAAATCAGGCCATATGTAGAGTACTTTGGGCTCCCTCCCATTCCTGATAAATCATTATTTCTTTCTTCTAGTCCATCAAAAGTTGATACTAGAAGAATTGGACTTCAAAATTACTTTAATACGATTTTTTTAATGCCCCATATTCCCCACATGGTTTTGTTTCGAATATGTCGCTATCTCTCATTGAACATCGTCAATCCTTTGGACGATTACAAAAGTGGATCTAGAAAAGAGGGGTTCCTTATTCGTCGATATAAGGGTTTGGGCTCTTCTTGGAAAATTAGATGGTGTCAAGTTGATGGACCATTTTTACAAATATTCGAAGGTCCAGGTGGTCAATTATTGGAGCAAATTAAGCTTAAAGGAACCCAAATTGGCAAACAATCTGGAGACGCTGTTGCAGATGATAGAGGCTATCGTCATGCTTTTTTGGTTATGGAACAACAAAAATCCAAGCTATCTTCAACTGTTCAGAAATATTTCTTTTGTGCAGAATCAGATCAGGAAAGAGACGAATGGATAGATTCACTTTTCGAATTCAATAACTTGAGTGATGGCTCTTTCGAAGGAGACGCTTCGTCGCTTACAATAGAAACTAATCGCGGCAGGACCGATGAGGATTCGGAAACTCAGAGTTATTCACAAAACATACCAACCCCTCATCGTTCAAGACCTCAGCAGAATGAAAATACTCTGAGTACTTATGAGGAAGATATTAAAGAACAAAAGGAACTCAAGAAACTTCGAAAGAGAAGTATTTTCCCCTTTCGAAAAACAAACAATAATAATAACCCATCCGATAATAATGATGAGGCGTCTAATGTTCCATCTCTTAATGCAAATGACTTGTCTGTTCAATCATACTTGGATCTGCTTAACTTGGACGAGAATTTGACAAAAACAATTTTCGGCAGAGATATACATGAAGTCTTCAAATTATCTAATAAAACTTTTTATGGCAAGAGTATCCCAAGTATATGTTTCAGATGTCTTGACTTTTTAACTCGAACTGGTGCAATTTACGAAGAAGGAATATTCAGACTAAGTGGCTCCGCTTCTATTATTAGACAGTTGAAAGAGCAATTCAATACGAAATTTGATCTTGATTTATTCGAATCGAGCTTGAAGCCAGACATTCATACAGTTTCTGGATTGTTAAAGACATACTTAAGAGAGCTTCCTTCTCCTATCATTGGTACTCAGTGTTTGAGTGATTTAAATAACATTGCGATTAATAGTGCAGCATATCTCTCTCATTATGCAATTGCAATCAAGTTTAAAGAATATTTTAACGATGATTCAAAAGTGGATAAGATAAGTTATAACTTGTCTTACGTGATCTTTAAGTTTTTAAGGCAAATAATAGCAAAAAATCAGAGTAATCGGATGAATATGCGGAACGTTTGTATAGTGTTTGTGCCAACTTTAAACGTTTCGTTAGAAGTATTGAATACCTTTTTGGTCGATTTTAATTGCATATTTGAAGGGGGGATACCTACACCTGATGAAGATAGAGAGGTTTTAGATTTACACATTCCTACTTTTTAATTGCACTTCCATCTAAAGTTACACCAGCAATTGAGTTTCAAGTATATTGTATATTAGTTCATTGAATTTTACCGCTACATTATAATTGTCTTAGAGAAAGTTCTGAAAATGAATGCTTAAATACATTGAATATATTCGTTCTGCGTTGATTAAAATAATACAATGTCTTAGGATATTTTTTCGATTTGTTTACCTAATGAGAAAGAAATAATATAGCCATTTACCACTCGCTCTCACCTGTAGCCTTTTGGAAAACATAATCTTTTCCATTTATGTTCGCTATTCCTTCCTTCAAACTTGATTTCCACTTATTCTTGACTCTTTGAACTTTATCATACAAGCACAACATGATCTGTCCTTCTTGTTCGCCATCTTCCTCATCTGACTTATCACTCTCTAAACCATCGTCCAAATCAGAGTTGATATCATCGGAGTCATTAAAGATGTCATCATCCTCATCATCCTCATCATCATCAGAACCATCAACTTGATTGATTATCTTTTTCTGCTTTTTCTTCTGTTTGAAGGATTTTAGGAAATGTGCTCCACTGTCGGTGTACAAAACAAACTCAAACGTCCCATCCGATTGATTAATTCTAGGCAACATAAGCCCCGTGCTACTGCTATCATACTCAGATTTGGGCTGAGGATCTATGCTTGGAATTTGAATTCCAATATTACTATTTGAACTGTCTGGTTGTATCGTGTTGTATGACAATTGTGAGTCACTACCCATTGGAAGCTCTAAATCTCCACCATCCAAGTGCAAATTTCCATTCGTCAAGCTATCACTTTGGGGAATCTGTTGAGATTGTATGACATGACTGTCATAATTATTGTTAAATTCCTCTTCATCCCAAGAGAATTTGGCAACTTGGGTGTGACTTAATCTCTCACACCATATTCTTTTCAAATCCTGTAAAGTGGATTCATCAATCCCACTATCTTCAAAGTCTTGTCTCGAGTCACTAATCACCTCTTCGATGATCGTTTCATAGAGCTTCCCAGTCTCTGCGTTGGACATTGTCTTCTAAAACTTTGTAGCTGTGAAGCTTTAAATATACTATTCAAAGATCTCTGTCCTAAGTAATTAATATATTAAATGAAAGAAAGGACGTTATACTATCACTGGTAGAACTAATGTTAATCTATCTGAATGCTTCGCTATGTAAGCCTAGATTGTGGATGCACTTGATGGTAGTCAGCTTATTTAATAGCACTAATTGCCATTATCATTTTATAAAGTCATAGAGCGAAATTACACAAAGATATTCGATTACTAAACTATCTATACAGATCATAAACTGATATTTTAACACTTTAGTATCTGGACCTACTTCCTGTTGATCTCCTTGGACTCAAAGCATTTGCGCCAGATTTATAATTTAATTTGTTAAGGTGAACGAATTCGTTAATTCTCAGACACTCTTCATTTGCCCGAGCAAGTTTTCTTTTCAACAGGTCAATCTCCCTTTCTAAACCTTTCCTCTCGATGGCAGTGAGATTGAGTTCTTTTTCGTACTTATCCTTTACATCACGTAACTTTTTAACATGTTTCTCAGCGTATTCCTTGTGAAGAAAAGTAGCTACTTCCAGAATCTTTGTTTCGAGTAAGGATTCCAGAGATTTAACTTGCTTCTTCAATAGCTCATTCTCTTCATGCAATTTTTCGATATCGCTATTGGTCTTGCTCGAACCTTCTTTTAATTTGACAATCTTAGCTTCATAGTTTTCTCTCTGTTGATCAATTGCATTTACTAACTCGTTCATTCTTTTAGTGTCATCAATAATGGTTTTGTCTTTCTCGTCGTTGAATTTGGATAATGACTTATTTTCTTCCTCAAGCTTCTTGATGGTGCTTGAGAAGCTACCATCATTGGCTTCTAGCTCCACAATTCTTGCATTGAGTTCTCCTGCAATACTATTCGCCTTAGCTAGATCTGATCCAAGATTTGCAATTTTCTCGTTTAACTCAGATTCTGTAGTATGACAAGAATCTAACTTCTCGGATAAGCCAAATATATCTCTTTCTAGTCTTCGTTTCAGATCTTTAAGAAGCTCATTTTCATCCCGTAGACCATCAATATCGGCCAATGCTGATTTCACTTGCTCATCTAATAACCTTGCATCTTTTTGGAGTTTCTCATAATCTTCAAAGCGTTGTTCCGATTCATCGTTTTTGTTTGCAATCGCCTGTTCTAAATTATGAATCTTGTCCTTAGCTAAGTTTTCTAACTTATCAAGTTCTTTAACTAGTTCTTCTTGCCTTAAATTCAAATCACGTTCTTCTTCAAGCTGTTCTTCCAAGGAATTTTTCGAGTTTGTCAAAACTTGTATCTGCTCTAATAAGGTTTCTTTCTCACTCAATAATTGTTCAACCTTACTGTTAGATTCTAAAGAAGAACTTGTCAATTTTGAGATTTCAGATTCTCTTTCTTGACAAAGAGTTTTCAATTCATTTAACTGCTCCTGCCCTTCAGCATTTGACTGCTTGTTATTATTCAATAATTCTTCTGCATTCGACAATTTTTTACTTAGAGATGCATTTTCTTCAATTTTGGTGTTGACTTGTCCAATTAAATTTTGAATCTTTGACTTACTTTTAGTTACTTTCAATTCCAATTGATTAATTAAACTCTCTTTGATTTTAAAATTTTTCGTAAGCGATGCAAATTCTCTTTCGTTATGTTTAAGTTGGATGCTTAAAATTTCTTCGTTGGTTGTTTTATTTTTTTGGAGTTGCTTAAATTCTTTAAACTCTTGTTCTATCATAATTCCATTGTTGGTGACGAGTGATAACTCTTGATTAAGTTTTAAAATCTCTCGATTTTTGAAAGCCAAAGTTTCCTGAATTTTATTGATTTCTTCTGCATGCTCACTTTGAAGTTTACTTATCTGCTCAACTGAAAAAACAGGCTTCGAGTTGGGAGACATCAAAAAATTAATTGTAGGCTCATCCTCCATCCTTTTTAAGTTAGATGTCTCATCAAAAGTTTCTTCTTCTTGATCCAATAATTTGTGAAACTTTAGTGGACTAGTAATATCCTTTGAATCAGATTTACTAATGTCTTCAAAGTCGTCAATAATAAGATTGTCGTTAATTCGAACTTGTTGATTCGTGATGGGGCTTTTAGCTATTGGTTCTGTAAGCCTCTGTGGTGTGATGTAGTCCTTGTCTGGGTCAGACTTCATTATTTTATTCACTTGAGTATGAGTATTATCATTATTGTTTGGTATAATTGTTTGACTAAATGTATGTTCAATCCTGCCGTAATCTTCTGGGTCGCTCTCACTGTCATTATCAATTACAGAAGGCGAGTTGTGTGAAAGCAATAATTCATGCTCTGGCGAATTGTCGGCATGTAATTTGCTAACTATATCTTCTTTGTTGAAAACTTCATCAACCTGAATCAGACAGCGACTGCTTTCGGTGATTTCATTAGCATTTGTAACTACTTTTGCTATCTTCTTGGATGACTCCATGAGATGATTGTCGTTATTACGCCTTTTTACAGGCGAGCTTCCGTTTGTAAAAGAAGAGTCATCGTATTTGGTCGGTGTTTCTAACACCTTCGGCGAAGAAACGAATGGGTCATTGTTTTCTTTATTTTTATTTATAACGCCATGTAACTTAGCTTCCAAATCTTTTCGAATATTTCTGAAACTCTCTAAACTAATGTTCTTCAAATTGCTAGCTCTTGGCGACGTTAATGAAATTTTATTACTTAGCGATACCTTTTCACTATTCAGTGATTTAGCAATTAATGGGGTTTCAACATGTCTCAACTTCGACCCTGGGTGATGATGAATTGTGTTCCTTCTTGCTTCATGTTTTGCTGAGATTCCATGAGGATGCGTCATAATTCCGGGCGTCTTTTTGTCAAGCAATTCCTTTGCCCTGTATCTCGACGTTGGGGTTCGCCTGCCTGGAAGTCTCACTGGCGAGAGATTTTCAGATTCAAGAACAGATTCAATTTTCGAAGACGATGACATACTGCCTCTTGTCTGCAATATCTTTATGTTGTTGTTCTTTTGTTTGCATTCGAAATAACTCTTTAAATTTACGCGTGTTAATATTATAATAATCCTGCACATTGTTACGCTCAAAAATATAAAAAAAATAGACATTGGCATCTAAGTATATAAACTATCTGGTGAAAGCTCTAAAGAGAATAGATAGTAAGAAACAAAATGGGTATCAAGAAGCCCTCGATGAACGCTAAAAGAAAAGATAAACACTGCCTAATGACGATGTAGTTATCAACAAATTTTGGAAATTCATTTCTATGACCATGACTAAATGTGCTATTACAAAGAAGGAATTGATAATACGTTCAAGTTCACTTAAAGCAGAATATTCAATTGATCAAGGTCGAAATCTGAAACTAAATTAGAAATCGAAAATAAATCCTCTTCTTTTAACTGGGGCAGCTTCTGACTCAGCGGAAGTGGACGGCGCAGAATAGGAATATGTACCATTGTTGTGCGTTGGCGTTACACTTGCAGAAGTCTTTGGATAGTGCAGAGTCGAAGTGACCTCAACAAAACTAGTAAGTGTAGTAGTATCGTCACCGTTAGTGAAGACAGCCTCAATAGGGTAGGAGGTTGTGAAAGTAGACGTCAAATAGAGTGTGGAAGTTGGATCTGAGGCACCGCTCTTGGTCACAGTGACAGTAACGGTGTTTGCACCACAGCTCTCTTCATTACCGGAACCACTATCCTCACTAACAGTTTTAGTAACGGTGGTTGTAGTATTTTTGCTGGCTTCGACGGTGGGAAGAACCTCAGTAGTATAAGTGGTAGTTGCGATTGTTTTTGTTTCACTACCAGAGGTCAAAGTTTCATACTCAATGACGGTCGAGGTACTAGGAGTCACATCTGCACTAGAGGCAATGGCCTCAATATCACCAGTTTCAGATGCTGCAACTGTAAAGGTACTTGATGGCAATCTGATAGTGACGTATTTGTCAATAGTGATAGTGGTATCAATATCAGACGACGAAGCCAGCGAAGTAGCAACTTTGTCCGCATTGTAACCCAAGACATCAGAAGACGTCTCGTTGTTGAACCTTTTATGAGGAACTGCGTATGCAGAAGTAACTGCAAGCACCACTGGAATAGCTGCTAAAAATCTCATAGTTTACCTTTGTTTCTTCAAAACTTTCCCTGTTTATTATCGAATTACTGATTAGTTTCACTTAAAAAAGTCAGGACCTATTCAATAGTAACGAACAACAGTAGTCGAGTATATAGTTTCGTTAAAGGAGTGGACGCGATTAGTGTACGCTTGTATGGCTCTGTCACAGTCTATAGGTAACCTTGTCTAAAAAGCTTTACATTAAAATCTGTTATTTTTGCTTTAGTTTTATACGACCACGCTTTGCTTCGACAGAGTATGCTCGTGTTTCATTGCATTCCTGGCGTCTAGGTAAATCTTGGTAGCCCTCTAAAGGGGCGATTGTTTGTTATTATTTACGGTGCGCGATCCGTCGTATTGTTTCAGAACGCCAAAAATTCGCGTAACAGTCGCACCTTTTATTTTTCACGACAAAAGCCTCACGATGCCAACCAACACAGTTTTGCGTTATAACTGTCATCGAAGCTAGCTGTATCATTGAGCTACGTAGCCCATCGCGTTTTGATACGGTCCTCTCGGACCATCTCACCACTGTAATGTTTAATTAGCGCGCCCTGCGGCGACTGTTTAAAGAAGCCTGTATTCGGAGGTGGCAACGTCATATCGAAACATTAGCTCGCGATACGTTAGATATGAAAGGAGGTTTATAGATGAAATGTTTTAAATAACGCCATTACGTGCCGCAACTAGTTGGCAGTTATCATACCTTGATAAGACCTGTGAATGAGCGTTCGACATTCCTCCTTCTGCGACTACATGTAAATCTAATATTTGTTTATTTTTAGCAGTGACAAGGAGGCAGCTTATTTAGCCACCAAACAAAGCCCTGAAATCTTCAATCAATTAGAACTTTTCTTAGTCTTAAGCATCGAATTGCAACTTCTGGGACTGCAGCAAAGCACTTACATTCCCTCTCTTGAAGTGAAGGATGAGGTCACCGCAAAGCAATCATATATCACGTGATTATTCGCATATCTTATACAACTGAAAAAACTCGGACAGCCAATCACAAATGAATTATCGAGTTCATTTTTTAGTATTGGTAAGGAAATGGGTCAGGTCGATTACTTAGTGACTTGAGATTAGATGTTGCGGATTAAGTTTGTGAGAATTGAGTACAAGTGACCAAGCCGCAGATCAAATCCTTACATTATTGCTGATAGCTTGTCTTTTAATCGAATGATCGTAGTTCTCAAAATAGTCAGCCGCTACTTTCAAGCCGCACAACTTTTTTCCTCTCCCCTAATCCATGTTCAAATATAAAGACTTCCGAGCATATTACAAGCTCTTTTTTTCAATTGGTATTAGAGCAACGAAATATGGTTTCACTTCCATTAGATGACGGCATTATAGCTAATAGAAAATTCAATGTTAAAAAATTAGCAATTGGAGGAATAACAGGAGTCTTCTTTATAATAATTTTATTTTGCACCAATTTTATCAATTATCTGAAGATAGAGTTCACGAGAATAGACAAAAGTCTTTGCCCAATTCAAGAACCTAGATTCCCAGGAGGCTCGTATAATAATTCTACGATTTTGACAATTTTGAACAACGCCGACTTCAAGAATTCATCGATTGAAAAGCTAGCTGGAGCCACTAAAATTGACACGCAGGTATACGATTCTCTGAAGAATGTCACGGACGACCCTAAGTTTTGGTCTAAATTCAAAACATTTCACAAGTACTTGGAGAAAACCTTTCCAGCTGTCTACGAAAACACTGAAGTACAAAAAGTCAACACCTATGGTTTAGTATTCTACTTGAAAGGCTCAAATGAGAACTTGAAGCCGTTAATGTTAACGGCTCATCAGGATACTGTTCCGGTACAATCCGATACACTTGATAAGTGGTCATATCCTCCATTTGAGGGACACTACGATGGTGAGTATGTTTTTGGTAGAGGTGTTTCTGATTGCAAGAATGTTTTGATTGCGATAATGGAAAGTTTAGAATTGTTAATTAAGGAAAATTATAAACCGCAAAGGGGCATAGTAGTAGCATTTGGATTCGATGAAGAGATATCTGGCTTTTATGGTGCTCGCTCACTTGGAATATATTTGGAAAACAGATTTGGAAAGGATTCGATGTACGCTATTTTAGATGAGGGTCCCGGCTTGACAGTTGACTTCTTATCGAAAAGGATTGTAGCTGTTCCAGGAACTAGTGAGAAAGGATGGGCTGATGTTAGAATTCAATTGACGACACCTGGTGGCCATTCTTCCATTCCTCCTGACCATACTTCCATTGGCTTCATGTCAGAGCTTGGTTACATCCTTGAAAGTAATCCTTATGAACCATTATTAACATCTGCTAACCCTACGATGGATTATTTGAAGTGTGCAGCTGTCCATGGCGGCCCCGAGGTCCCTAAATATGTCAAAAAAGCGATCATTAGATCTAGTTACGATAAGTTTGCTAATTCGCTAGTTGTCAAAAAATTACAAGAAAACCCTATCACCAGATATTTGATTCAGACTGCTCAATCAATGAATGTGATCCAAGGAGGAGAGAAATCGAATGCTTTGCCAGAACACGTATCTTTACTAGTAAATCACAGAATTGCTATTGAGAAAACTTATGAGAGCTTAGCGGACTCCATATCTACTAAGGTTGTTAAACTTGCTAAAAAATATGACTTAGGGGTGGACGCTTTTGGAAATACATTACTTGAAGCAGGTAAGCATGGAAAATTTGTGGTCGACTTTCCCTCCATTATATTAAATCCGGCCCCTGTTACACCTGTAAATGATACGGTATGGTCTTATCTTGCAGGTTCAGTGAGACATGTATTTGAGAACTTTGTTTTCCCTGATGTTGACTATCCCATTATCACTGCACCAGCCCTTATGCCTGCCAATACCGATACTAGGCATTACTGGGATCTCACTAGAAACATTTTTAGGTTTTCTCCATTCTTCTCAAATGTTACAATGACTGAGAATGGTATTCATAGTGTGGATGAAAGAATTCAGGCCTCGGCTCATTTACAGCTTGTCGCTTTTTTCTATCAGTACGTCCAAACTGTTGATACCCCAGATGCTGATAACTAGATAACTTTCAACTACATCATTTGGCTCATAGAAAAATTTTAGATTCAAATGTATTTGCGTTAAATATGTGTCTTAGTAATCCTTCCAACTATAAATCTTATATCTGATCTTTTCTCAACATTCTGACCCTAGAACACAGAATAAGTCCCTTAAACTTAATTCAGAAAACTCTTTTCATCACCTAGGACTGAAAGGGGGGCAATGGTCGATGCTCTTCTGCAAATCCTCGATAAAATCTTTCCTAATAGATGTACATACTTCCTAATTAGTTTAAATCCTTCTTCTCTAACGGATTATAGCGTAAAAACTTTTCTATCAAGTCGACGTGAGTTAGTACCATTCTTCTACAACAATATCTCTTCAACTTCAATTTATCTAATGCATCACCCTCTGTCATGGAGTCATCTTGCAAATACTCTAAGTATTCTTCCCACTTGTCACCAACAACTTTTCCGCAAGAAAAGCAACGTACAGGGATAAGCATTTTACTAAGAATCCCAGTATTTAGTATTTGTATCTATTTGATGATAATATGAATGAAAATTTTGAGCTATCAAGAAATGAATGTCACATGATCACCATCGGTGAAAATTTATGATTTTTTATAGTGATGAGGTATGAAGAGTGCACCACTTGGTAAAACATCTTTTGTTTAGCAATATACATATCTGAATCATAGATGACGGCGAGGACTAATAGCTGGTCAGTCCAGATGCTTTCTGGAGGAGGGCCCGTATTTTCCTCTGAATCCACGATGGGAGCATCTATATTTTCAAGTGATGGTCGCTACTGTTTTGCATTTCTTGAATTTCAGATAAGGATTTACTATGTTCCAACTAGACAGTGCATTCGAACAATAGATATAAATATGGAGAATATAATTGGAGCCGTTATTGATCCATCTGATGAAAATAACATAGTTATTATCAAAGAAGATGGTGACATTATTATATTAAACTGGAAAGAGAAAAGTAGTGAACCTTTAGTTTCAACGAGAAAGGTTGAAATACACCAGTCTATTTTATCAATAATTCTGGTAAAACTAGACGCAATTTATGTTATTTCTGGAAGGAAGTATAAAAGAGCGGGAAATCACGCTCAGAAAAGAACTATATATAAAATTTCAAGAGATAGTTTAGCCCTAGAAGAGTTATGTGAAATAGAAGAGGTTCTCAGGTTTGCTGTTTCATTGGATTGCTCTAAGATTGCATTTCTCTTGAGTTCAAACGAGATTGAGTTGGTTGATATGACACAAATTCTTAAATTCCAGTACGTAGATCATAACGATCACACCCATCTGAACGGATCTGCCTTACATGTTCCCAAATTAAATAGAGAAACTATCCCATTTCCTTTTAAATCTCCAGTGACTTCACTTGCTGTGTCAAACTCCTCGGCTATTGCGATCGGAACGGCTGCTGGCCCCATTCAAGTCTTATATAGTGGACTAATTACAGAGAGCACGCAAAGGTTGTTAAAGTGGCATATTGATCAAGTCAAGTCATTAGAATTTACCCCAGATGGTAGCTATTTACTTTCGGGAGGGTTAGAAAAAGTGTTAGTTCTTTGGCAATTAGAGACTGGTGAAACTCAATTTTTACCAAGATTGAACGGACCAATTGAAAAGATTACGATAGACAATAATAAGCCTGACTGCTATTCTTTGATGCTAAGAGTAACATCCGCCAATTCTTCTTCGAACATTGAGGACGATTCGTTCGAAATCCTTGTCTTATCTTCCGTTGATTTGGTTTCTAGGTTGACAGTGAGTGGAGTGAAGCCATCATTCGTCAATCAAGTCAAAGCTACAATTTCAAAGACTAGAAAAAAATATTCAAAGTTCCCAGATACTTTTGACTGCTCCAAGGTAAGATATGACTATTCTTGTGTCTTTGAGGTTCATCCGAAGACAAAAGAATTGTATTTCCCCAATGGTGCATCACTTCAGGCTTACGATTTAGTGAAAAATGAGCAATCTTTTGTACAAAACACGGCACACGTCATACCTACCGGTAAAGTGAGATCTGAAATGAAAATACCTGACCCTTCTGTTCATTTTGTTTCCTTTACGGCGGACGGTGGATGGATGTGTACCTTTGATTCAGTATCCAATTTCGAGGTGGACAATTTATTCTCTAAAGATGATATGCAGTATACATTAAAGTTTTGGAAATACATTGATACTCAATCAACATCTGATACGAATGATTTAGTGAATGACAAGGGAGGTTATTGGGAGCTTGTAACAAAAATTGTGGATCCCCATGGAAATTCGAGTCCAATTTTATCTCTTAAACCTGTTCCGTTGTCGTTCAATAATGGTTTGGGTTATTTAACAGCAGACGATAAGGGTGGGTTAAGGTTATGGGTTCCTTTGTTTCCAAAAGAAGTCTACCAAACAGGGAAAGGAAATAAGCTGCAACAAATTGCATGGAGATTGAGGAAGTCCAAAATTGGTGGCGTCGTTTCATCTGATGCAGTTGACGTTTGTTGGTCTAATGATGCTTCGATCATATTCCTTGGACATGAATGTTCAATTAGTAGCATCAATGCCTTTACTTTCGAGGAAATCTCCCCACGTAGGAGTTTGACTGGATCTAGAATCAGATCGCTTTCACTTTTGGACCATCATTTGATTATTTTATCAAAGAATAATATTTTGTCATATAACGTTTTAAAAGATGAAGAAGATGCTTTGGCTGCCAAATTTAATACTAATGTTGGTGCTAGGAACTTGATAGCTATAGACCCAATAAATAAGCTTGTTTGCTTAATAGGAAACTACTATTCGACCAAAAACGATTCATTGATCTTGTCTTCTAAAATAATGATATTTCATCCGAATCAATTAAAGCCGCTTTTTATATATCATTATGAAAAGGGAATATCGTCAGTCAGAAGCATAAATTCGTCTTTTGTTTTTGTCGACGTGACAGCTCGAGTGGGATTAATTGCCGGAAATGATGGTTCTGAATTCAAAAATGACATTTCAAGCATTTTTGTGAAACCTAGCGCAGGAATTGTTCATGAAAATACTACAAAGAGAAATCTTCAAGTTTCTTCGGATGAAGCTCTTGAGTCTAATAAGATTGTGGATATCAATACTTTCCAACCAGTTTTCGATAATATTGAAGGTGTTCAAATTGAAACCTTATTCGATCGTATCATCAAAGTCATCAAGTAAACATCTCCATTTATCATCTCCAAGCGTCCTTAAGATACCATGACATTTCATACTGTTTGTGATAAAGAGTCTTTATAGCAATATCTCAATTATATTAAAGCATATGTATATACATTATTGTACACCTAAATATTTTATCCCCAGTTAAAAATAGATCTCTTATTACCATCGTTATTATCATCAATATTTTTGGATCTAGATCTTTGTAGTGCCAAGACATCCTCTATCTTACTTAAAGCAGCTTCTAACATATCCTTCCTCTCTTGTAGCTCAATATGTTTCTTAATCTTAGGGTCTTCCTTGGCAAAATGATCAATCTCCCCCTTACTCAAGTTAAAGAATTTCATATCCAACTCTCTAGGGAAGTTATAATAAAAGTCACTAAGTAGCTCTACATTCAAAAACAAAATTGCTGTAGATGTTAACTTGGACGCAACGACGTCCAAAAAAATTTCGGGGCATTGATATTTGTTTTCCTTCTTCTTGCATCTTTTAGAACTCTTTACAAATTGTTGCCTCATTCTTAAGATTGATAATCTATCCCTAAGAAACATAGCATCTTGCCCCTTTTCTATCAAAGCCAGGGAAAATCCTAGGGCCTCATTAGAGTTAAAATCGACTTCAATGGCTTGCTGTTGGTTTAATTTTTCTAGATAAGTTATCACCTGCAGTAGCTTTCTTCCACCAACTTGCTTCTTCAATTCATTGTACATTCTTTCACATTGCCTCAACTCCTCTTTAAGAATTCTGGTCGAATTCTCTCGACTGTTCAGCCATTCTCTGTCTTCAACTTCTATCTCATATTTGTATGGCTTTATACAATTTTCTACCTGATCAGCCGTAGAGAAATATTTAGCTCCAAGGACTGATTTGGCTGCATCTTCAACCGCATTCTTTGCTAATGGGTGATTGGTTAACTGAGTGTCATCAACGATGTTTCTCACTTCAGTTAGAAGAGCATTGCTAACCAAACTAGTTGATAATCGGCCAACACCTAATTTCGTCAATGAACTTGTAGCCAAGTCCAATTTCTGGTGCCAGTAGGAGTCATCCTGGATATTATTGCTTTGGGATAGCTCCCTTAAATCAGGTTCCACGACATCATTATGAGCATGCATGACAGCGAAGGGTTTATTCCAGTATTTTTCAGCCAACAAATCTAAAACTTTTTGGTCTAATTCATTCTTTAGAATAGCTTTTAATTCGCGCCTTGAAAACTTGTGACTCAACTCTTTCGTAGCCAATTTGAGCATATCTATATTATTCGCAAGATACATTTGCGGAGTCAATGGTCTATCATTGAATTCCACCTTAAATTGATAAGAAGCCTCTTCTAATTCCTGTTGAATCGCCACATGGGTTGGACGCAATGAGGCTGCCATGGATTGCTCAAGGACTTTAATCAACCTCTTTTTTAAGTTCCTTGTTCCCGTTTTCGTTCCTTGAAACGCCTCTTTGTGATCCCTCAAAAAATTGTGCTCAAAGTTTTGCTGCGCGACGAAAGATTGATGGCCGCTAAATGATCTTCTAGAAAATAACCTTCCAGACATGTTTGCATTCGGTGCCCTCGTAATTACCCCAACATATCCCATCTTTAAAGGATACTTTCTATTTGTCAAAATGGCTCTGGCACGCTCCGGGTCTACCAAATCTAGCTTAGTGACAACACCTATCGTTCTTTCGCCAGATGGATCAGAAACTTTTGATGCTCTTAAGGCAGAGGAGTTGGCAAGGTCAACATCAGCAGCACTTATGGCCAAAATGATGTTCGGAGCTTCTAGATATCTATTGCATAGAGTTCTTATTCTTTGTTTAAGCTCAATGGGTTGATCCGCAGCCTCTACTTGAATATATCCTGGTAAATCAACTAAGGAAAGATCCGGAACGTTGGGGCTTCTGATATTAATTTGAATAGGATCACTGGAAATGCATTCCGACTCCGGAACAGTCATATTAAGATCAAATAAGACCTTTTGTACTTGTTGGAAATCAGATATATTATACATCTTTAATGCGGGAAACTCTGCAATCTCAGATGCTGATTCAGGAGAGTTTATAAGTGTCAACTCAATGGGACGTCTAGTAACCATGTTCGACCCTTTAGGCAAAAATTCTTGACCGACAATGCTCTCTAAAACTGAGGATTTGCCACTTGATTGAGATCCTACAACAACTATAGAAGGTAATTTTATAGCGTCACGATCAATTGTAGATAATAGGTTCTTTATTTCGATCATTTGCCTAGTCAATGTCAACATTTGGTCATCTGTTTCATCGTCTTCAGGTAATTCCTCGTCATCAGCGATTAGAGTTTCTTCGTCGTCATCAAAATCTTCCTCCTTCTCGTCATGTTCTTTCTCATCTTCAGAAGCAAAGCCAACTGCTGCTGCCGTTGCGCCTGCGGCCGTAGCTGTGTCGCTATTTCCTCCACCATCACCTGAGCCATTACCATCCCCATTAACACTTTCTCCATTTCCTTTCATTCCTTTCAAAAAGTCGCCTGTTTTGTCAAATACATTATCCGTGAAATCTTTAAACGACGATAATTTGTCAGAAGTATAACTCGATGCCTGTTCAACTTTGTATGCCACATAAGATCCGCCAGCTGCAAGGGTACCACCAACATATGCGGGTACTTTCACTGCTTTAGCCATTAGTCTTACAAAACCAATATTTCTAGTGAGAATAAGCTGCTGTTGATGCTGCTGCCAGTGAACTCTTCCGAATGATATTGGTCTCTGTAGACCAAAATGCCTTCGTGATTGTACATATAATTGCCTACCAACTCCGGCTTTTGCTATTCGCAGTCTAGCGATTATATGTCTCCCGTACATATTTCCTTCTATTCATCAATAGATTAGGTTTTTTTTGTCAACTCCTTTCTCTCGGTAGTGGCAAGAAAGATCAAAGTAAATATTCCTATAAAAACTTCCTGTACATACTTCATAAAAATAATCCTAAAAAAAAAAATATGCCCCCTGCCAGAATTGAACTAGCGACCTTTGCATTACAAGTGCAACGCTCTACCACTAAGCTAAGGAGGCCGATTTTTTTAAGAAAATGATATTTATACTTTTGAGTTATTTGCATTAGGTTAGTTGACTCAAAATGTAGGAAGGCTAAGGAACATCGCATCAAATATCATTGCTCTCGCCCTCAGTGTACCAAGAATTTTATTTCATATTGCTAGGTATTCATAGGCTCTAGTACTCTTCGTTTTCCAATAATGTACTAAAGTGATCTATATTTTTCTTGGGTGAAGCGTAAGACAGTAAAACTGTATTGCGTGAGAAATCGCTCAGCGAACAAACGCTGTCTTCAATAATTAAATGCAACTAATCCTTCCTACGTTCGGGGCGTCCAAATCACCACCAAATACTAGAAAAGGAAACTTGGCTCGTTGTGATACTATGAAAGAGTTCTTTCATGGCTTCTGGAATACACAACTGAAAGATGTTGCAAAACCGAGTGATAAAATCATTACAAAAAATTATAAGAGCAACTCGGATGTGAAACACGGGGGAGTTTTTTATGACCTCTATGAGCTACCACTCGAGAAACTTATGTCGACAGCTTCAAAAAGTCAATCGGAAACTGGTGATTTGAAATTTGCTTCCAAGGCCACAATAAACTTTCAGATGCCACTACTGCCACATATAAAATACAGATCTCAACTTAATGACTCAACCTGGAGAAGGCCCCGTGAACTTGGAACAGTGAACAGCAAGCCATTTGATAGACAATTGTTGCAACTTGAAATCTACCAGTTACAACTTTTGGGTCAAATAGTTGATTTATTGAAGATTCTAGTCTTACTATTACTAATTTTGCAGATAATCTGGACTTGGTCTTGTGAGAGACACGGCCAAGATCTATGATGGCTTTGACAAACTTCCTATTGTCTTAAATCGCTATCGGAGAGATCGCTATTCCTTATTTCCAGGGACCTGCATAGTTTTATTTTCATAAGCATTTAAGTCGGCAGCTTCGTGCCGATATATTGTATAATGCGGCATTAGTCTATGGGCATTATCTCCGCCTTCCCCCATCTAAGGTCAGAAATACGCAATCTAGTCATGAGGAATTTCAAGGAAGCATTTTGAAGAATAAGCATCGATTGCGCTTTTCTACTACTAGTAGAAACCTAGACTAATTAGTATATTCTTTTTCTCTTCCTAACTTTTGCAATTAACTTTTGATGGAACTGCACATACTGTGGTGGATGTCAAAATTCTACGTTATTTTCCCTGGCCCCAATGTACTAATGCAAAAATACTCGTTTCACATGAGGACAATTTGTCAATAATTAGTTGCGTAAGTAGAATGTAAATATTGTAAATAAGTAAGTTATAAGTTAAATAATTTAAATAAGTTAAATAAGTGGAGAACATGAATAGTTCAATAAATTAAGTAATAGATTATATATATGACATCTTTCTCATAGTTCATCGTTATCATAATATGCTATGAAATAGCAGCATTAAATTTGTCGTCACGATTATGAAGGTGCACATGTTTGTAGCAAACCCTTGAAATTTCCTCGAAACATTCATTCTCATAACTGTCTTCTCAGTAGTAGCTCAGTATACAGCATGATATTGATTTTGTAAATGGTGCAGATTGATATTTGCTGCTGAGTGCGACTGTACTCCAAAGCATGATCCTGTGGGCTTTAAGCCAAGATAACTGCTAGGCGTCGAATGTACTATACTCAGGTGCTCTTCAAAATCCTCGTCGTCTGTCAACGAAGAACTTCTGCACAATTCTGGCATTTCTCTAAAAAGATCGCTCTCGTATGAGGATGACGTTCTTCCAGCCAAATCAATTTTATAATTCTGTTCTTTTTCTTCTTTTTCATCTTCTTCCTCTTCTTCTACTTCCCTTATTTCATTCTCTTCTTCCTCCTCTTCTTCTATAATTGTGTGTGTGAAATGTCCAGATGCAATTGAAAGATTCATATACGGCAATTTCTTGTAAACAGAATTTTCTTGGTGTACTTCTTGGTAAGGATTCCACTCCGCTTCCTCCTCATCCGAATCTGAGTAATAATAATCTGAGTCTGATTCAGAGTCGGAATCCGAATACTCGTAACTTAGATCAGACTCACCGTCGGAGTCTGAGTCTGAGTCAACTTCATATTCAGTAACTGATGTCTTCGTAGCTTCATCACGAGGAGGCCTCACGGATTGATCATCGAAGGAAACGTGTTTCAAAGCATCTTCAGGCTTGGTATTCAAACTTGGTTCACTGCACCTTTTCTCGGTCTCATTCCCGATGTAATCCATCAAATTATCCAACATGTTGGCTTGAACCACAAGATTTCGGAGACTGGATTTAGGATCGGATGCTTGTTTAGACAACTTCGTCTTGACCTTGGAGGCAAGTATGTAACTCTGTGCGAATGAAATTTCTGACATCTTTACTGTTTTCTAGTTGAGATAACCAAGTTGCTTTTGATGCCCTTGCGTTCACGCTCCCGTACCTGTCTTTTTATGAGACAATCGTTAATATAATATGTCAGACAATTCGTCCTAGTATCTCAAACCTTTCAAATTTCTACAATAAATATCAACTGATTGCCGATAATTGCACCTAAGTATATAATTCACGATTGCCGCCGTGTGAGTTAAAAGTATTCCTGTTTATATATATAAAGCGGCAGCAAACTCCAAAGTGTTAGTCATCGGCGGTATAGCGGTTATTAATGCGCTCGCGCTCAGATCGGAAATAAGTTAAATTAGAGCCGCAAAGTTCTTTGATGATGAATAATACAAACATAGAGCAACGTAATCACACAGGCAAGGCATACCATGGCCTAGCCACTTCTAAGTATAGCCTTATTTCTAATCAGAAGGTATCATACGCTCTTAGATCGAGCTTTGGTGATAACGTGGTTTTGTCAGTTGAGAATAAATTTCTAAGAGATTCACAAGAGCTGCCTCCGGCTATTATTTGTTCCAGGGAACGGATGAGACTTTGTTCCAGAGAAATTTAGCTAGCACATCAGGAACATCCGATACAGTAGCATACCGTAGGTTCCATCACAATACGAGTGTAGAGTTATGGTAGTTTCGGTTTTGATAGATACCTAATCCGTTGACGGCTTCTAAATCTTGCTTTAGTGGTTGCATTGATGTTCAAATTACGCGGAATAAGAAATTATAGTTATTATGGAAGTCAATCACCTACATGACCGGAGGATATATTAGTCGCAACATCCGAATACTAAACCCCCAGAGACGTCAAATTTTACATATACAGAATTTGTTTGTCTTAGAATAAGCTCCATGTGCAGTCTGTGCGTGAATTCGCTCGACTTCGGATACTCGAACAAGGCTAGCTCATAAGTAGTATACTATCACTATTGCAATCGTGTGTTATAGATATATGGGCTTATGTCTACTGAAACTCCGCTTGATGAAGCTTGCTGAAGCTTGCTGAAGCTTGCCGCATCTGACGCTCATGAGATAATAAAAAAAATAGTTGCTTATTTTTCGACAGAATATTTATGTTTCACATTAGCTTTCCAGATTTGATGTTGCTTCGCGGTCCGGATAACAGTTGAGATAGCGGCTCTAGAATCCCTCGTGTTACCGTGTTGAGATTCTTTTTTTTTAGTCCGCAATCTAAAAACTTTGCTGGTCGCACTGCTTCCCTTTCAAGCTAGTTAAAAAGCTTAAATGGCTCATGCAGGGTTTGAAGTACTGAACTTTATGATAAAGTATAAAACTCAGTATAGGGCTGAAGACGCAAAGTAAGAGCGCAAAAGAATACCAGTATTTTTAAGACTGCATAGACAAAGTAGCATAAGTTACTGGCATATTCTTTGAAATATTAAGCCGTTTGGAAATGAATGTAATAAATATTGAAGTTCACACTTCTGACTTAAAAATAAATCTATCTCTCAGTAGCCTATCATGTCCTAATTTGTAGTAAAAATGAGATAAGGACTAAAGAAGAGGGCAAGCAAATATTTTTGCTGCGTTAGTTTGGTTTCATCAATCATTCTAGAAATTGTTAATTGTTGTCCGATTAGGACTAAGTTGCTATTGAATGTAGTGACATTGTATTCACACGAACTCTGACTACATATGCATGAATTTTCAGGCTATTTTAGAGCTAGATCAAATGGGTTCGTCTAGCTACCTTTAAGGTCGCTCAAGAGACCTTAATTCTTGATATTTAATTCCTCCTCTTCCATCAAGGGGACCTAAATATATGTAAGGGCCCACGATTTATCGAGTTCGGCCAAGCATTAAGAACTGCGTGTATTACTTCATTAGCTTTTTGTTATTGACTCTATACAATTTTGGTTATCTCTAATGTTGAGTATAAAAGGAACCTTGAAAACAAGAAATTGAAGATCGTCACTTCACAAGCAGACTTTATACTTAAAGGGGACTTCAATTCCCTCCAGCTCCCATCTTTAACATCAGACGTTACTTAATCAAATAATCCGAATCCCATATCATCGTCTGATTCTTCTGCAGCCTCTTCTTCCTTTTCTTCGGCAGGTGCCTCACCCGATGCCGCACCAGCAGCACCAGCAGCTGGAGCAGAACCACTAGCAGGAGCAGAGGCAGCAAAAGAGAATAATAATTCTTTTAAGTCTCTACCCTCTAAAGCTTTGGCATAGACATCGGCCCAAATGTTGTCGATAGATGCACCAGCGGCCTTAGTGACACTCAATAAGTTGTCTGAGGTAATTTCGACTCCAGCGTCAGCTAAAATCAAAGCAGCATATGAAACAGAAGCTTCTGATGACATTTTTTTGATAGTATCAATTATTATTATTATTCTACTTCTTTCTAAAGTTCCTTTTGAGATAGATTTCCATTGAGACAACATTTGTCGTGAAAAAAATTTTTAGTGACCTGCACAATAATCAGCTCTGGAATTTTTGATGCTGACTTGCACATGATATACACGAGAAACAGTCACCGAGATGCAGTTTCCTTTATTTAAATTAATTCAGCTATAAACTAGCGAATCATGAACTATAAACAAGATAAAAAAGTAGCAAATGAGTAAATTGATAAAATAATCGTCAATACAGTCCCAATTTTTGATAACGTAGTTCAATCTAAGAAACCTGCCAAGTCGCCTAACCACTTTCTGTATTCTTTCTCTTCTTTAAACTCAGAAAAGCTGATGATAAATTCCGCAAGCTCATTGTTGATTCCTTTAGAATCTAAGTAGCTCTCGAATGTTGCCTGAAGTGATTCATCCAAATCAGAGAATCTTGGACCTTGATACTGGAACTTATCCAAGAATTCACCTCTGGTAACTTGATTATCCAAATAGGCATTTACTTCGGGCTTGTAAACTGCAAAGTCGATTAAGAAGGAACTTTCAGAGTTCTGCAAAAACAAGTTAAGAAGCAATCCATTTCCAGTAGTCGAATTTTCGATCAAAATTTTGACATTACATAACATGGACTCCAATGAGTCTACTTCCTCATTAAGGTCTTCCTGTTCTGCCATTTCATCTTGGATGGGAATATCTGTAACCTCGTCGATATCGAAGAAGACTCTAACAATTTCACCATTCGCTTCTTTTATCAATTGAACGTTTGAGTTACCACTAGTTTCTTCCACTGTGAATCCAGACTTATTTAAATAATCGGAGTATATTGAGTCCAATTCATTAGGTATAGTATTCGATATTTTTAATTCGGACTTCAATACTTCTTTTAATTGGTTCTCAGGCGTCTGTGAAGCTTTGGTCGTATAAGCAAACCTTGGTGCAACCGTAAATGCCGATGTGGCGAAAACTGGAGATAATTTAATTAGCCTAGAGCCTCCAACTAATCTGGTCCTTAAGTTGGTGACAGTTGTACGTAATTGAGTTGAAATAATCTTGCTTTGCATCATCTTTCGAATATGTGTTGTTACGATATATTCTCCACTATTTTGAATGACGAGAGTGAAGATGTGGATTTTATTTTTGCAAAATTTGATCATACACGATTTTTAATTGAGTATAATTGCAAAATGAACTAGTTTAATTTTATAATGGAGTAGTATCGTATTAAAGGAATGTATGCATATATGAACACGGGTTAAACAGTATTAAGTTTTACTATAACAGTTTGAGGGGCTGGCCTAGTTTCCTCTTATTAGGTAAAAACTAGTTAACTGTCATATACGTCATTAGTAAAACAGTTGATCACATTTGAGCAGTTATAGTGCTTAGAAAAGACAAAGATTAAAAATTGAGAGAATAAAAAAGAATGAATGAAAAAAGTTTGAGGATGCATTAGATCTTTGATTGAAAACGTTGTGCCTGATGAAACAAATAACAGTTTGGTTGATAACATTTAGGAGTTTAGAGCTGTTCCCTTTCAATCGTTCGGAGGTATTCTTGGACAAAGCTGGAGCTTCTTCTGTATCGACGTTCTTGATATTTTTCAAATATTGCCTTGTGATGTACCTCTGCATTCCTGCAGTCATGTAACAATATGGTAGCCAATGGCGCCAATTGTGCTTCGGTATATCCTGAGTAAAATACATGCGCCTCAGTCCACTCACCTCTTCCCAACAAGTGACGTGACAAATAGTGTGCCCCAGCTGCTAGCCAACTTGGTGGAGATGCGACAAATCTTGAATCCATGATCGTGATCTCAAGAAAATATTTTGCCAAAGTCCTCGTTTCATAATCATAATCATCAGCCTTTGAAGTTCTTCTTAGAAAGGACATAGGTCCTGGCCAACCCATGTCGAATTCAAGAACGTCAATCATAAAGCGTTCAGCCTTGAGGAAGTCGTCAACACTATATGCGTTATCCGCCATATAAGCCACCTCTTGGACAGTTGGACAATTAATTTCTTCGTATTTTGCAGCGATAAATAATGCTACTGCTCCAACTAATTGAAATCTTGACAAAGACACCTTTCGCTTACTTAAAAATCTATCAATATAGTTAACAGTTAAAAACAACGTCTCTGGTAATAGATTGAATCTTGTATGTACCTGTACTACCCAATCAATTAAGACACCTCTCATTTCCCATTTTAATTCATCTTGATTGTCCATGTAATTGGCATCTGGGAGTAGTTTATGTTCAAGTTCATGCATGTAGTTAAATATTTCCGGTGCATATTCTGCCACCATGGTTACATCATATGTATCCTCGTCATTTTCATCAAGCGTGTTTCTTGCAAATTTTTTCATGATATTTTGAAGTTCATTGAATATCGCTTTGTTCCACTTGGGTTCCATAGGACGATTCAGAGCATCATCTTCATACTCGTCTTCATCTTCATCAGAAGCAAAGCTGTCTAGTTGAGATATTGCATCTTGAGCAGGGAGCTCAGATAGTTCGTACCTGGTGTCCTTTTCATCTATCTCAAAGTCTAATTCAAGAACTCTTGATTCCCCAACTTTATCGAAATAGTTATTTATCGGAATATCATCTGAGTTTTCATAATTTGATGATTGAGCATGATTTTCCCCAACATCTAAACCATCTTCAAATCCTTGAATTTCATCAGTATCGTTATGAGTTGAGGAAGAAGTTGACACTCGAAGATTATTCGAAGAAGAAAGTAACGCTCCCAACCTTTGTTTCTTGAAATTTTGATGTTTATTCGTCTGCAATTTAGAGACAGATTGTTGCTTGAGAGTCTCGTTTACCGTCTTCTTTCGATAATCTGTGTTTTCGTTCAATTGGGTTACGTCACTCAAAGCTTCTCTTCTATTTTGTAAGTCAGAGTGAATGTTAGTTGCTAATTTTCCTTTCGGTTCTAGATTTTCATCATTTAATGACTTAGACACTTGTCGTCTATATGGCCTCATTTTTATGTCAGTTCTTTGTCCACTTTTCTTAGCTGTATTTGAGTTTACCTAACTTCGGTATTTTAAGATTATTCTAGCGAGTGACTACGTTAAAGTGTTCAGTAAAGTCAGCTAATCAGTTGAGCGCAGTGACAACTTGGAAACAGACAGATTCGGCAATGAGATTAAGCCTATTGGTATCAAAAAAGTATCAAACTTATAAACAACGGGATCTGAGTTCTGTTTATCTTTAATAGATCTTTTATCAATGAAAACTGGTTTCTGTCTTCCACTCTCGTTGAGGTTACAGACACCAGCAAACGTTGAAAAGCTAGGCGTATCGATCCAAATTTCAAGCACTCTCTCTATGCGCCTGGCGGATATACTTTGTGTATCTATACTTTGATCTCCTTGTCTGGTGTCGCTTCGTAGAACCTAGACCCTGCTTCTTGATAAAATCACTTCTGGTAAATCAATTGGAAGTGCTCTATAGAGACCAGTATTTGTTACCAGCGAGTGCAGATCTTACTTGAGGTTGATTATAGCACCTGCTTGTTCACTTAGTAAGCTCCTCCCTTCGCGAATTCTTCGTCGACTGTCGTGTTACAAATATGTTTTGATTTAGTTATTAACAAGCCTGATTGCTTCAACACAAACAAACTATAATCAAGATTCAGCCAATTTCACTCTACACCAGCTCTAAATCCTGCTTGCATGTAGACAATCCCTCTTGTGCAGAAAATTTTTTGCTTGTGTTTGTGTGTTTGTGTGTTTGTGTATTTGTGGATTTGTGATCGAACCGGACGTAAACAACAATCGCGGTTTTCAGATTAGATGCAACTCTCAATTGAAATATCTACAGGCAATCAGTAAGGAACGATGAAGGCTCGTGCACTAACAATACACTATATTAAACACAATGTACTAATATAACCTCTTAATAGCTAGTCCCCTAGTAGAAGCTAAGCACTACACACGTAGAAGTAAAAGTTGAGGACTTCCTACTGATCTAAGATGATGTACTCATCCTGTATGAAGGCCGAAAAGCGAGAATGCGTGTTCGCGGAGTATTAATTGTCGAAATTTCTCCCTGAGGATCTCCCCAGGGGCTCCCCATTACACCAAAAGAGACTTAGGAGCGCAGTGGTGCTGCAAAAAGACTAGGAGATATCCGTTAATGGAAGGATCGACACAATAGAGCGAAAAAGTTTAGATGCGTTCCTGTGTCATCTTATCCATTAGCGTGACGTAAAAAGCGTATCATGGCCAAGATATATCTCACTTATACGCGCACTGCCTTGGAAATAGTTAAATATTATAAATGTGTATTATAGACTAAGCTTTGCATATAATCTACGCCAGCGTGAATTTATGAACACAGAATCATCCTATAACACGTGTGTTTAAAAGGCTTAAAATTCGGTATTATTTCAGATTGTTGATAGAAAGAGATGAGCTCATAAATATTGTAAAACGATCATCCTCTGAACTTGCTTTACCATTGGATGTAGCCAGCACATCTGGATTCCGATATTGAACTGTGGGTGGAGGTGTTTGGTAGCTGTACGATGTCAGATTCTGCGATTTAATGTTTGGCTTCTTCGTGGAAGAACTGCAGCCATCGAGGCTTCCGTACAACATCGAGTTGAGGGTCCTGTGGCTGAGTAAGCTATCCTTGTTAGAATATGTGTTTTCTATCGTCATTCGTATGCACTCATCAACTAGATTCGCTACCTCTGTCAATAGTTTCTGATTATTATTGAAGGGGGGGTTATGAATCTTAATGGAAATTAATCTGAGCTTGTCGAGTAAAGAGCCCTCATTACCATTCTTCACGATCTCAAAACTCGCTGGCGATCCCAATGACTTTTTCACGTCCATTCCAGCATATGCAGTGGAGGCTGCCAATTATGTCAAGTCTATGTCTGTTTTAATTCTCTTGGAAACTTTAAGGATTTAGTTGGCAGTCGTAGATCTCCAAAATATGACTGTTGCTCCTATATCGAACACAATTTAATTTTGAAGGGTTTTAAATGTGTCTTGAGATTTCGGGATCCTGAGTCGTTATATACCCTTGGCTCTTAATGTGTTAAATGTGTAACTTTCGATAGATATTACAAGTCTGCAATGCCATCGGGGTAGCACATGAGCGCGCATGAGTTGAATCTTTACTTTACAAAGGTGCAGCACTTGCTCTCTAAGAAGTGTATCGATAGAAGATCTCTGTCCTGAAGATTCTGATTCGATGGATCATTTGAATGCTGGCACTTTCGGAACATCGTCGGCAGTGCTATCTTATGGTTGACGTTATTACGCAATGAAAAATAAGAGGCGGTGATTTAACGGGATCGTTGATCTTGAAAATCACACAACAAAATTGCGTTGGCATGACACTTATTTTTTATAGAGCGAAGTCGGCTCCTGATAGTGATTTATTAACACATAACTGCAAAGTGATATTAGTCAATTCAATCGCTTAATCTTACCTTTTGGCTTCTTTAACAGCTCTTTGAATTGAGGTTACTTTTTTCTTGGAAACCTAGACTCGTTCATAGCACAAATTATAAGGCTTACGGCATAGTAGCAAAGTCAATGACAACGGGAAGTTGAAGTTCCTTCCCAATAAGTATCATGTAAATCTGAAGAATTATTGAAAAGAATAGTTGAGTTGCAAAACTTATGGTGACACTTATACCAGGTATGCCTCAAGTTCATTTCAAGAAGCATGTATGTATTTAGCAAAATATTAAACGAACCGAGCTTGGCCAACCCATTTAACTATTGAATCTTTTTCAAGTCTTATGCCCAATATTTTTTTATTGAGCTTTTTTTTTCCTTGCCTTTCTATTGAGGAGATTTCAGCCGAGAATAATAAGTACCTCTTTTGATGCCCTTTATTTAGAATGAATGGAAATCAATCCACGTTACCAAAATGTCATGAACAATTTCCTAATTCACTTGCCTCTATTAAATCATCGAGCGGCGATGTGCTCCGATTGGGAGTGAACTACATTGTCGATACGAATACTCGATGTGAGCATTATCAAAGTAAATTGGATATAATATGCATCAAATTTAAATGTTGTGACGTATATTACCCATGCTTCCAGTGTCATAACAAGATAAACAGGTCCTTACACAAGACAGAGAGGTGGTCTAAACTGGATCTTAAAGCAGAAAAAGTTATTCTATGTGGGTTCTGTTTCAATGAACTACTGTTCGAAGAGTATTCTAAAAGCGATTATTATTGCGTTTATTGTAACAGCAAGTTCAATCCTAAATGCGCTTTGCACTACGACTTGTACTTCGATTTGACTTGATAGATAATCGAATGTATACTTGTATTAATCTATAGATAAAAAGAAAAAGAGACTGTTATAGCCTCGCTTTTTAATAAGTGTGCATATGGACTTCAGAGACCCTTGGCAACTTATATATGTATCATCTATCATATTTCATAAGAAGATTTTTATCATATCTAATTGCATCCAATGAGCTCACCCGTTTTGAAACAAGAAGGTGATAACACTGAGAATTTACTGAAAACCGCCATAATAGTTTCAAATCTTTCAAGGGAAGACTTTGTGGCAAAATCATCTACATTAACTACAAAGACCTTGTCGTTTGTTGATAGCATTAAGTTGACTACTTTGAGTTTGAAGACCCCCGAAGGGGTTGGTTACGTGGGTGATGAATATTATTTGAATAATATAGAGTATTGGTCAGCCTTACCTACGTTGAATAGAATCATCATCATTATGCGTTCAGAGGAGGGCGCTTTAAATCTATATAATCATTTAAAGACAGATTCTAACTTAGATCTCGCGGGCAAAAACATCAAAGTATCGCTACAGGAAAATTTACTCAAGTCATCCAAGTCTTATGATTCCCTAGCTGATGCAAATTCGTTATCCGTTACTAAGACTTTGGCAAATTTCAAGGATTTTCACACTGGTAAGACTAATGAATACACAGAACCGGAGCCTCAGCCCTTCAATGCTATTGAAGATCTTTCAAAACTAGGAATTGATTTGCTAAGCTACAACAATAATGAGCAGTTAAACGAATTGAAGGACACTTCTAGTGTTAAAAGAACAAGGTCTTTAACAAAAACATTATTCAAGCCGGATTTGAAACTTACAACTAGTTTTTCCAGCTCAAGCAGAGGTTCTGGTAGCAATACGCCATCTAGTCCGACTATTACCTTAGATGATGGCTTTTGAAAATATATTACTTTTATTATATTCATAATCTCTAAGTATATAGTGTGTTCTTGTAATATTCGAACTGCATATAAATGCGACGATTTTCTCTGGCTATTAACTTTGATTATGAGGATGGTTTCCAACCTAAATACGACCTTACCTTCTAAATATAAAGAAAATTGTAAACGCAGAGGCATGATATTAGCTACTCTTTATTTGCTGTTATTTTTCTCGTGCGTAATTGGGACAAGGACCGCTCACCAGGATTACATCTCTGTGTTTCAACTTGATGCAAGGGATCGAAGCCCAATTAAGATAGTTGAAGAGAATGCTGCTGTAGCTTACTTGGGGGATACATTCGATATATCTGATTTTTATTCCTTGGGAAAGGGCAGTGATAGCATTGTGAATTTTATTGATGAGCAGAAGGATTTGATAGAAGGCGGAAGCTCTGAGAAACCTAAAATGATCGTTTTGGTCAATGGTGCAGAGGAGCCGGAAACATTTATTGAGAACAGGATTCCGTCTTTTAAGGTTCAAGGAAAAGCTGGAAGCTTAACTCATGGTATCTTCAGTAAATTTCCAAGGCAGTTTATGGCTTTAAGATCAAAAGACTATAATCTTGATGCTTTGACTGACGAAATGAAGCTATTATACTTGAAAGGTGAAAATAGTGACAAATTAATCAGGCATTTTCACTTCTTCAATGAAAACTTGATATCTATATGGAAAAATTTCAAGTCAAATGTCATTGGCTCTTTCAAAGGAACTGCTGATGAAGAGATAGTTGTAAGTAGAGGAAGTAAATTGGACATGTCAACTTTAAATGTCATCAATGACAGGCTCTTTATCAATGAGTTGTCTCAGTTGGTTCATTTGAATCAGGAGGAAGCGAAGAAAGGAAATTTAATTTTCTTCAACTCTAATTCTTTGTTATCTATACACAGAATGATTGGGTCTGAATCAAGTACCTACAAGTTCGCTAGAAAAGTCCTTTCTAACTTTCTAATTAAGTTGCAAGACAAGTACGAGATTATAGTTGTTTCCATTCCAGTTGGAACTGCTCAACCGTATCACTCAAACATTTCCAAGAGAAATAAAGAGTTGGCGGACCTTTTTAAGATCAGCGATTATTCGAAGAGGTCCGTAACTTCAAATTCATGTTTTGGATCTGAGGAGGCCTGTCAAGCAAGTACTTCGAATTGTAACAGTCATGGTGTATGCTCAAAGGTGAAGGCGAAATGCTGGACCTGTTTGTGCTCTCCTACTTTCAATAAGACTACATCAAAGACTACCAAATGGTCGGGCACGGATTGTAGCAAAAAAGATATATCCGTCGAAGCAAATCTATTCTTATGGTCACTGTTGGCATTGGCTATCTTCTTTGTTGGTGGGATCAAATTACTAATTGACGTAGGTAATGAACCTTTACCTGGGGTGTTGGATGCCGCTACAAGCTCTAAAAAGTCTTCGTAAACACAATATAGTGCCTTCATAAATACAATATAGCTCTCTTAGAATATGAAAGTGGATTCGAAGTAGCATCTCTATGCAAATTTCTCTTTACTCTTTAATATTAGGAGAACGATAAATCGCCTATCTGCCGAGAAATCTTCATATCGAGCTTAGAGGGCACACTTCTTCAGAACGACCGAAAAGTCAAAAATAAATAATATTGGACGGCAAATAAACATCTGAATTATAACAAAAGAGTGCTGCTTTTCGATTATATTTGTTTCTATCTAAAGCCGGTTCTCAAAATGAAGTTTTTAAGGAAGCCCTTGGTTACCGCATTCACGTTCATTGCGATTACATGTGTAATATTCTTCATGAGCAGCTCGTCGAACGAAAGACCTTTAAGCATGACAGTGCCCGTGGATTCGAAGTACACGAAACAAGACATATCTGGAGCTATTGCGCAAACTAAAGCAAATGGGAAACAGATTAATTTCGAATCAAAACATGGTGAAAAAAGTGGGGATACGATAAATCATCCGTATGGTCAGGATATTGAATCAGCACAGATTAATGATATAAGTACTACACCAAATGATTTGGAATACACAGATACACCCTTTATGCCTAAGATGGCTAACGAAACCTTAAAAGCACAGCTAGGAAATTCTGCGTGGAGGTTATTCCATACGATCTTAGCTAGATATCCAGACAAACCTTCAATTCAGGAACAGACTACTTTGAACCAATATATTCATCTATTTGCCCAGGTTTATCCATGTGGTGATTGTGCAAGGCACTTTCAGATTCTCTTGAAAAAATACCCTCCCCAGGTCAAGTCTAGGAAAACCGCGGCGTTGTGGGGATGTGATATACATAACAAAGTGAACGCCAGATTGGATAAGCCAGATTATGACTGTACGACTATTTTAGAAGACTACGACTGCGGTTGTGGCGATGATGAGAAAGAAGTTGACACCACTCTTTCGAACGAAAGTATGGATAATTTGAGAAATATTAAAATTGATGAGAAAGAAGATTTGCAACTTGGTGGCTAGAGTCTTTTATATTTAATATGAACACGAAGGTAAATGTATATTAACCTAATAAACTTAAACTATTGTGCAGCATCCAATACCTGTAGAAGATGTTGCTCGTCTCATATTTTTGAAATTTTCATATCTTTGAAATCTGTTCAGCTCTGGTGGTAACTTCCATACTTGAGGGATAAGGTAATCAGGAGTCTCTTGAATGTAATCCATAATTCTTTAATGTTAGTAACTATGTGTGTTTCGGTTCCTTTTTTTTTTACTTACAAGTAACAAGCATTTGAAGCTGTAATTCTTTCCCTTTTCAAAGATTCTCTTAATCTGAGGTTTAGTTCTTGTATCCTCTTAAGTTTAATCTGAGATATTCTTATTGTTACTTCCTGTTGTTCGTTATTCATCTTTAGGTCAGAGTTATATGCTTCATTTAATAGCTGAGAGTATTTTTTTCATTTTTTGCAATTATCCCTAAATTTGAGAATGCCGCATTACATATTAACACATTTAAATGTTACTTCAAACTTAAGATTAATATAGTCCCATAAATCATGAATTAAACTTACAAAGCTTAAAGGTTAAGCACAATTCATATAATTATTGACGAGTTACCGAACTACAGTTTTTTTTATACATATTCTTGCAATACTCGTTCTTTCATTCTTTGATCATTCCAATCTCAAAAAATGCCGCAACCTCTTAGCGACACCAAAGCTAATTAATAAACTATCATACTTTTAAACTTCTTTGAATCTATGTGATCTGTTCATGTCATGAAAAATATAAAGATGATACAGATTGATATGACGGTCGCTAGTATTAGTGTATCTCGCTTCCTCCTTGTATTGATTTTTGAGATTATGACATTGATACCCGGTATAGTCTGAAGTGTACTCAACATTCTTGTTTGAGCATTTGCTAAATATTGCCTTTGATTTAAAATTTCATCTCTTGTCTGGTAGGCCAGATTTAGAAGTCTATCAGCAAAAGAGTTTGCGTTATCAACTCTGAGGCTCTCCTCCAAAACATAATCATTGGCATTCAATTGGTTACTATAGTCACTGTTAGTCACTCTTTGCTTATGTGCATTTATATCTGACCTCACTGAGAACAATAGATTCGTTCTGTTCCTCTCTTCGTCTATGGCAGATTCAATCTTCAAATATGATCTTTTATGCTCATTCAAAATCTCTTTATGCCTTTGCAATTGCTGCAACTTGGAAGTTGACAAGTCTGCATCTGAATCCGATATCCTGTTAAGCTTATTTATGATCAAATCTCTTCGTTCAAGTATTTGTTTTATTGATTCGTGAAGCTCGATTTCTTCTTCATCAGGGCTTGTAGAATTATTCAAATTTTGAAACTTTGAGTATCTAGATAGTAAAGCATCTGTCTGCTTCTCCAAGTTTAGAGCCTGTGATCTTATCTGTGAGAATGTAGATGAAGACATGCTAAATTACGTTACTGCTTAACTGCTCGCCGCTCAAGAACAACATGTAGATATGTCATTTTGATTCTTAATATACAGTCTCGAATGAGATTGCATTAATTGCTGCTGATTAACCAGAGAGAATAAAGGAAAAGATATAGATTACATGAAGATGAAACTGCCTTCTTCCTTTGAATTGCACGAAATAGCACCAACACCTATAAATTTAAGTTTAGAGGAGCAAATTCCTTCAAGCGAAACCAACGTTTCACCTTTCTTGAAAAAATTACTACTGTACTTGCTAAAAATTCAAAAATATAGTGCCTATACGTTTACAGGGTTTTTAGGATTACATTTGACATCGGTGGTTATTGTCCCAGGATTGTTTGCTCCACTTTCGATAGCCCAAGATGTTTTCGAAATGAGTAGAGCAGTTTATCAATCGGTTCCAAATTTTGAGAATATAGCGATCATAGGATCAAGTATGTTGCATGTCATTTCGGGAATTGGAATCCGATTAATTCGAGCCAAGTTAAGACAAAATAAGACACATAAGAATCCTGCTGTCATGGAGCCTATTATTACTGACACAGAAAGAGATGATATTGGTTTAGGTGGAATTACAGCCTTGATTGGATTGGGATATAAGAAGTCATGGATAGCTACGAAGTTTCCTACTTTGACACCTTTATCATTTTCAGGCTACTGTTTACTACCATTAGTGGGATATCATTTCTTCAAATTTAGATATTTGCCTGTATCAATCGATGGTGATTCTTCCCTAATAAATCTAGAGTATATTTCATACTACTTAACACATTCATCGTTGAAAAATCTTGGGAACAGAATAAATTACTTCATGATAGTTATGCTTCTCTGGGTCATGTCGTATCATTCAGTAAGTGGGCTTTTGAAGTATAACAAGAAATACAGTTTAACAGCAAAAAAATGTGGCTATGTTATTATTAATAGTATAACGGTGGTTGGTTTATTGAGTCTTTCGAGATTCAGAGGACTTACGGTTGATTCGAGCGGATACTTCGCAAAACAGTTTATTAAGTACTTGAAGGCATCTCCTATATAACCGATTTAACTAATTGGCAAATACAAATTTCGCACGCTATACAAACGCTCTGAAATTCAGAATAAATATTTCAATCGCAACTTCTTTGTTAAAATCCTAAAGTTGTGATCTCTTACCCTTGAATTGAACGGGTATGCTAAATGCTCCTGTCAAGCAACGGACATACCATGTCTCGTAGCATTATAATGCGTCCTTCACGATAATATAGTCAAATGTGACGACCTAAACAGTAGCGGTACTATGCTCGTGAGAAACGGCATCGGGACCTAAAGTAGGCTTAGTAGATTTCTTTGATCTGTAGTCTTTAACAGCACTCTTAATGGCATCCTCAGCTAACATAGAGCAGTGCAATTTAACTGGTGGCAACGATAATTCCTTTGCTATAGCAGTATTCTTAATTTTCAATGCTTCTTCCAAAGTTTTGCCTTTAACTAATTCTGTGACATATGATGAGCTTGCGATAGCAGAGCCACAACCAAAAGTTTTGAATTTGACATCCTTTATAACACCTGTGTCTTTATCTACTTGAATCTGCAATCTCATGACGTCTCCGCATGCTGGCGCGCCTACTAAACCAGTTCCAACATCTGCATCAGTTTTATCTAACGTTCCCACGTTCCTCGGATTGCTATAATGATCAATGACTTTCTCATGATAAGACTTCTTGCTGATTCTAGGGACAGCGACAGCACCAGCTGGCTGCATGCTTGACCTCAAGACAGCTCTTGAAATTTGAGGAGTTGCCATCTTGGCACTCATAGCAGACACTCTTAAAAATGATCTAGACAACATTGTATTTGAATCAATAATCTAACTTTGTTTTCTTAACTATGAATTTAAATATGTTTTTGATTGATTGCTTTATAGTTGCCGACTAAATTGAATAACTGAAAAGGATGAGCTTAATATATTTCAAGTGCGTGCTGAATGACGAGAACTATATATCTGATTAATTTGATCATCCTTCCTACATAAAATCCGTGCCGGCTCCGGAGGTTGACCGGAAACAGTAATTACGTAAGTGCTTATATAATATATTAGAAATGACGGCTTTTTCATAGGCAATATCGATAAAGAAGGGGAGACGACTGAGGGGAGAAAGTCGTCAGTGAATAAAATTGGCTATTGTCTCTCATAAGAATGTGTCTCAGCTTTCGCATAGTCAATAAGCTAGCAACATCGTCAACTAGTAAATTGGTTACGATATTAACCCGCCTAACTTCCCATGAACGGCTGGGACAGTCGAGAGAGCCACTGTATTTTAAATATATCACGTGGTCTAAATCGGGGAGAACGGTCATCGTGGCCATGAGCGTTCTCAAGAGACTTGAATCTTTTGACGTTTACACTACCTCCCCCCTTTTCTGAGCTCAGCATAGGTAATTATCTTCAAAACAATAGGTTTAAATAAGTTACTCCGTACAGCTCCTGGGATTGTATTGTAAATTAAACGAGCCTCTGACAGGCAGGTACTGCCCATACAGTTACCCTGCATCAATCTTAGAATATCGGCTGAAGCGGACTGATAAACAAGAATAAGTTTGCAAGGAGGCAAGATACTAGAATAGAGTGAAGTCGTGTCAAGCAATCTTCCTTTCTCTAAGAGGTTGCTTGTTGTTTGTCGGACCCCTTTCACCCTGTAGACAAACGTATATTCATAAGCAAAGAATATAACTTTGAGCACGTGATACGATTATAATTAGAGACTCTAAAATATAGTCAACAAAATAGAGAGTAAACATTTTCATAATTATAAGGACGCACTTGGTGTCGTTGCTGTTCATGTTGTGTATCCTGGTCCATTAAGCATTTAAAATATTCCGAGAAGTTCCAGTGCTTTGATTTATTGACAATTAAGATCGAACCAACGATACATTCACCAAGAACAAATATGACAGACTCATTTGGGCAAACTAAATTAGGGGCACCTAGTGGTTCTGAATATGATACGGGCGTTTCAAATGGGGATGTGGACTGGTTATTTCGAGGCAAGTCCAAAAAATTGACAAAAAAAATGAACTCTACTGTGGTAGACAAAGAAAAGAAACTGGGGGACAATGAAAAGTCAAGAGAGGAGAAAAAGTCTGAAGACAAGCAAAATGATCAATCCACATCAGAAGTCAAGATGCCTTTGAATATGGGGAGGTCTCAAGACTCTAGCAAGGCACCAAAAGAAAAGGAACCTGCTACAGAGAAATATGGTAAGTCTAATAAGACTACTAATCTAAACCGACAAAAGGATACCAGTAGTGCTAAAGAAACACTCCACAACACTATCCCACATGATAATATAGATGCGGCGAACAATGAGAAATCTAATTTGACATCTAATGATAAATTTTCTATGTTAGATAAGTTCAGGCTTGGAAGGACCAGATCTTCGTCGACATCCAGCGTAAATGCTGATGCAGGTGATCCATTACTGAGCAAGTCAGGCCGCCAATTACAGAACACGCAGCAGCCACAGCAAGAAAAACACTTAAATCATGAACATGTATCTCAGGAATCGTCAAGCGCTAGACGAAGAAGCAGCTTAGGCTTTGGAAGTGACAGATCTAACCCATCATCTGAGGGTGAAGTATCTCCAGGTGTATCGAGATCAAATTCTTCTGGTGGTAAAACTAGATCCTTGCTAAGTTCAATATCGTCCAAGTTTAAATCTAACGGAGACTCTTCGGCGTCTACTGTAAATAGTGCATCAAATCAGACGCCGCATACGCCAAAGTTTAATCCTCACTTGATCGGCTCGGGCTCTACACCATCCCACAATCAGGATTTAGCTACCGTTATGAACAGGCCACCGTCAGGTGTGGGTATTCCATCAAGCGGAAAGAGAAGGAATTCTTCTGGTGGAAAAAGCTCCTCCAGTCCTGATGCTTCACTAGATAAAGAGAAGGGTAAATTTTTTAGAAGAGAGTCTGTCTCCAGTGGAAAGTCACAAAACAGCCGTGTTGTCTTGAATAAGAACAGCAAGAGAGACAAAATACCTATTAAAGAGTTGGACAATTTGAATTTGCGTAGAGTTAATTTCGCGATTGATAAGTTGTTAGAAGATCCACAACAGCAAATTCCATCTAGACGGCCAAAAAAAGGAAATGTTTTAATACCGGATGATATTTTAGCTCCCTCTCCGAGGTTGTGTCAGGGTATATCTTCGAGCGATGGTAGCAAAATGAATTCGGGGAGTGAGAATAAATATTCCGAGAAGGAATTACAAGCTGCTCTTGAATCACACAAACGTGCTCTCATAGAAGCAGATAAACATGCTCAAGAAGCTCACCTATCTGCGAATCGCATAGCTCAGGAAGTAAGGCTGTTCAGGTGTAAGAGTGGGTCATTAAAATCCCAAAATGGAGGAGAAGATTTTGAGAACGAAGCTGATTACGACGATGCACCTGGAACTCTAGCACATGATGTTGCTGATATCGAAATTGATAAGCCATTACATACTCATGAAAACTATTTCGAAAACTCTGAAGAACCTGAAGAGGAAAATATAGACAATATCACTTTAGAGTCGATATATACCAGATGCTGTCACTTGAGGGAAATTTTACCTATTCCAGCAACTTTGAAGCAACTCAAGAATAAGTCAAAGCCTTTGCAAGTATTGAAGCTATTGAATCCGAAGCCAACTTTGATAGATGCGTTGTCTTTTAGTGACTTTATTGCCATAACTCCCATTTACACTGTCATTTTTGATAATGTGACCGTGACAACTGAAATGTTGATGCATTTTTTGTCATCGCTTGTTAATAACACAACTTTAGAGAAACTTTCATTAAGAAATGTGGCAATAGATGAAATAGGATGGAAATATTTATGCAAGTTTTTGTCAAAAAATAAAACCATAAAGAAATTGGACATTTCTCAACAAAGAATAAAATCTGACACGAAGGCTAATTCTGTGAGATCTTCGATGAATTGGGACCTTTTTATTGAATCATTAATTATAAGAGGAGGTATAGAAGAATTAGTTATCAATGGCTGTAAACTTTCGGATGAAGCCTTCAAGTCTTTGATCGAAAGAGCAGTCAAATTATCAACGTATCGCTTGGGAATTGCTTCTACGGAATTGAACTTAAGCAAAGCAAAAATTGTCGCTGAGTGGATAACAGAGCCAGACTCAAAGTGCGTTGGTGTCGATCTTGCATTCAACGATTTGACTAAAGGGCAATTGAGGCCATTTATTGAACCGTTTAACAAAGGAAAACTGAAACTCTTATTTTTTTCGCTCAATTCCACACATTTATCTGACGTCGAAGAAGCTTCACAAATGATTGAGGCATTATCACACGTTAAGACACTAAGATTTTTAGACTTGAGTTCTTTGCCCCAGTTGTTTCCTTCAATAATCTCAAGTTTGAATAAATATTTACCACGCTTTGAGTCTTTGAAGAGAATTCATTTCGACTTAAATGAACTAAGCTCCCAGTCCATCGTGGCAATAGCCGATATCTTACCGAAAATCAAGACATTGGTTCACGTATCATTTCTAGGAAATCGAGATTTAAGTAATACTGCTGCAGCTACTTTATATACTGCAGTGAAACTCTCAGACTCTATCTTCGCTTTAGATTTGGATTATGATTTAATAAGTGATGATTTAGCACAAAGAATCGCATTCTATTTGATGAGAAACATGGACAAGACTTTGAACTCTGAGATAAATTACCTGGCCAATCATGACAACGAAGAGGAATTAATGTATGATGGATCCTTGTTGATGGAGACTGCCGAAAAATTGTTGAGCGAAAACGACAAGAGTAAGGATAAAAAAGAGGACTTAAAGCTTCAAAAAATCTTGACTAATGCCATGATGGAGAGGGGCCGTGCTGTTCGTAAAGATATTCATAAAATAATTGATAGTCTATTTGAGAGGAGGAATCAAGGAACCCTTTCGTTAGAAGGCAAAGAGAACTTATTAAGACTTTGTTTGCTAGATGCTTCTCTTGAAAAGGTCGTCCATACCTTCGAGGAACAAGCAAAATTGAAAGGTTTTTTTTCAAGCTCGCAGAAAACAGAATCTACATCCTCCTCAAGTAATGCTGATCAGTCTAGACCCGAAATTAAAACACCTTTATCAAGGGAAAGCTTGCATCAAAGTTCTAACGAATTGATAACGGCTGGGCATATTTTATCGCCTCGCAGCACCACATTTTCTCTGCAATCTCTTGCACCACCCACAGAACAAAATTTCCAGCCACATCAAGTTGTTATTGATTCAATGTCTGATGGTAAGGATATTCCTATCGACAATTTAACAGGTAGACCTGTTTTGATGAGATCCAGTTCACATGCTTCCTCTCATGCAAAGGAACAAGAAATGGAAGAAGGTGAGCTTCACAGATGGGGATTTTTCATTCAACAAAGGAATAACAGTAGTACCGATTTAAATACGAACAGAGATAATACTCAATCACAGATGAGTAAAAAACCGCTGAGCGTAATTTCAGATACTCCTGAAAAGCAGGCGAAAGACATCCCCCATCTTCCTGTTCTTCCTTCTGGTTCCGAACTTAGAGATGCAATAATTGCTGCGAAAGGTATCGAATCAGTTACCGATTTGATAGACAAAATAAACAATAACAGAGTTAGTATAGACAAGATCTACAACATTCCTGAAAAGCCTTCCAAAAAAGAGAGTAGCATCTCTTCTCCAAATGACGATAAAAACCATTCAACAAATAGTGATGAAGACGATAATATATCCATAGACTCTGAATACGATGGCGGTGATGATGCAATGAACGCAGTTGTTGATGAAGCATACGATAAGATTTTGAACGATGCGCAAAGAGTAAGGTCTAATAAGTAGAAGATTACATATATGATTCAAAAAATACGAGAGGATTTTTACTCTTTACAAAAACAAGTCTAATTCTGTAAGTTTATATTATCTTAAAAAGGTATATACTTTCAAGGGAATGAAATGTGTAACTTACTTGGATTCCTGGAATTCGGCAATTTTCTTGGCAATTTTTGCATCCTTCTCCTCCTTGGACAATTTGGTCTGTCTGTACTTTTTAGAGTTAGCTGCATATTGCTCTTTGGTGTACTTTTTCTCAGTTGGTTTGAACGATGGATCAGCCCTAATAGCCTCGTGAGCTTCAGTGTAAATATCTTCGATATCTTCAGCTTCGACTTCGTCATCAATGTATGACTTGAACAATGTTCTGTACTTTTCTTCATCATCGTCCATCAATTCTTCGATATATTCAGCAACGTGACCACCAAAGATGTACTTTCTCAATAATTCTGCATCCAACTCTTCAGATTCAATATCCCAACCAGGGAATCTATTTGGAGAGTGAGGAATATACAAACCACCATCAGAAGCACCCTTTAAAGCACCAAAGATTCTAGCACCGGTAGTGGTTCTTTGCAATCCGATATCCAAGAAAACCTTGAATGGCCTTGGACCATCTTCGACAGCCTCAGTTAATTCGAATTCACCTTCAACTTCTTCAACACCTTTATAGGTCTCATCCAAGCCTAATTTTTGCAAAGCTCTTCTGGCAACCAATAAACCGACAGCGTATGCTGCTGACCAGTTAGTCAAACCATGCTTGATACCATATCTTGGCAACTCATGAGCGTAAGCAGAAGTAAAAACAACATCACCAGTAATCTGAGAGGAGATGATTTGAGCAATGATGTCCTTGTTTGTGAATCTAACAACTAATCTGTACTTTGGTGTGTTGTACTTAGCTTTGTGTTGAGTGATTAATCTCTTTCTTTGGTAGTAGTCAGTTTTACCTTCCTGTCTTCTACGGAAAGGAGTTTGAAAACGTGAGTGGTAAGAAGAGGACTTCAAAACTTTTTGAAATGGCATTTTTGTTTGCAATCTTTAATTGAGTATGAAGAAGTATATTTAATTCAATCTTTTTAAAAGTGAAAATTTTTCAAGCTTGACTGTCCTCAAAAAAAAAAAAAAATTTTTTTACTAGTCGGTAGTGTGCACGACCTTAATTTGCAAAAAGTCAATTCTCATAGAAGAAAGCCTTATGCTTCAATAGATGTGCCTATTTAACTTATCTGTAACAGTTTCTAAGGAGAGAAAAAGAAAGCAGTTATCTTTAACATTCTTTAAGTATCAAAATGCCTAAAAGTGGCAGATCATATCAGTAAAAGATAAAAAAAAAAGCTTTGTATGATTCCGCCCAGGATCGAACTGGGGACGTTCTGCGTGTTAAGCAGATGCCATAACCAACTAGACCACGGAACCATATTTTTCTTTTTGAAATCGATCACTACAGTTAAACTCAATGCGAAATCAAGATTGTTGCAAAATTATATGGGAGCAAGTTCAGTCCTCAGGTAATACATTCTACCAGCAAAATTAGATAGTAGTACATATCACATAAGCAGAAGTTCTCAATAAGAATCACGTAAATACGACAGTAACTCTTAAGTTGAATATGTACGAACATATCTGACTAATTAATATGAAAATAAATGAGAAAAATGAATAACACAGAAGATACAAAATAACGAGGGTTATATGTAAATTGATATTAACGAAGAAAAACTAGCAATTTCGTTTTGAAGAAACATTAGAGTGGCATACAAAAGTTCTGTGAGTGAAGAGAAATTGAAGTTGTGCATAAATATCACTATATTAGTAGCATTACTTATAACTGTGCAAGCTGCTGTTATATGCCTCGACTAGACCACAGTACGACTTCTTTGATGAAATCAAATGTCTTACAAATTGATTGACTGCCAAATATCAGGACAAGAATAAGCAGTGGCACAGAAGTAGCTGTATTTATAAAAACTTATTAATTAGTAGTTCAGCTGAGCCCGATTGAAATATTATTGATCAGTGGTTTGCCTGCTATGGTTGCATTTTGGCAGATACCAGTTCACGAAACACGTATATACCAACGTCGTTTATATTATTACTGTGATAATATCCTTTCATTAGACTATGATAGACTTCGGTATTTTGATTATAGGGATGTGGTGTCTTGATGCTACAGTGGACTACCGCATGGCTGGAATTTGAAGCTGAGTGCAGCTTCATGCACTAAATAATCACGTAAGACATAAATATAAACTACTACCATATGTATAGAGAGTGGACCTCAGTCTCCCTTATATATATTAGTATTTTGCACACGTCTGATACGTCCCCTTCCATTTCTTAGCTGAGCCCACTTATATAAGAAACTACGTTTAGCACGGTAAATAAATTCAGAATCCTAATTACCTTTTCAACGATTTAAGAATGAGAGCCTCATTTCATATTATAAGTCCTATTTTTCGAAATACATGCTGCACAATCGCTTTAGTATAATACATTCACCAAGAGATTGTCCGAAGGCTCACCACGAACAAGTATTTTAAAAATGTGTGCTATCTTCTTCGAATTATTGACACACATCTATGTTGGTTATGGTTATTGTTTTACTACTTGATTAATAACGAACCGTTCAAATGTATATATGTAAATATTACATAAGCTCAGTGACGAGGTAATCGGTAAAAATGTTTAGCTTGGAACCTGAACCGATGAAATAGTTTAGAGAATCGTTATGAAACCTCATGTATCGAATGACTTATTTATGTTATCATATTCGTACATTTCTGCTAAGTTGGCTCGCCATATAATTATAGGTAGGGATGCCGCTTTTAAGACCGATATCTTATCTCTTTTCCGTAGTCGCGTTGAAAGGAAAACCACTTTAATAACAATTATCAGCGGTTCATTAGAAGTAAGCGTTTGTTGTAAATGAGTCCTTTCAAGCCAGCTATCAGGTCCCTTTTGGATACTGATTTATATAAGTTATCTATGCATGCGGCGGTCCATCAACACTTTCCCGATGTTCCTGTAACTTATAAGTATACCAACAGAACTCCGTCGATGATTCTCAACAAGGAAGCTGTGGAGTGGCTCAAGCGTCAAGTACAATGCTTAGGGGACTTGAGATTTCTGACCGAAGAAATTGAATATTTAAAGATTACCCTCCCACAAATGCCGAAGTCTTATTTTGATTATTTGAAAACATTTAAATTGGTTCCTAGTGAGCAAATACGATACACGAATGAAGACAATTTGAAGGACTTTGATATCGAAATTTCCGGTACTTGGCAGGACACTATTCTATATGAAATTCCCATTCTAGCATTAGTTTCGGAAGCTTATTTCAAGTTCGTGGATAAGGACTGGAACTATGATGGCCAGTCAGAATTGGCAGCAAGCAAATGCAACGAATTCGTGAAATACGAATGCAAGTTTAGCGAATTCGGGACAAGAAGAAGGAGATCTTTTAAGACACAAGACATTGTTATCAAAGCTATAAAGGATTACATTTCAAAACATCCCGATTCTTCCAAATTTATTTTAGGGACTTCTAACGTACTATTAGCTAAAAGATACAGCTTGGATCCAATTGGCACTGTTGCTCATGAATGGTTTATGGGAATTGCTTCAATCACTCAAGATTATAAAAATGCCAATAAAATAGCCATGGATTACTGGTTATCAACTTTCGGAACAAAATATGCTGGGCTCGCCTTAACTGATACGTTTGGTTCAGATTCTTATTTGAAGGTTTTTAAAAAACCGTATACAGATTACTATGCGGGAGTCAGACAAGATTCTGGAGACCCAGAACTCTATGCTGAGAGAATCAGTAAACATTTTGATAGCCTAGGTTATCCAAAGTTCTCAAAAGTGATTTGTTTTAGTGACTCCTTGAACCTTGAAAAATGTGAAAAGTATAAGAAGAAGGCAGATTCCTTGGGCTTGTTATCATCATTCGGAGTAGGTACGTTTTTCACTAACGATTTCAAATCTTCCTCTGAACCCCATTTCAAATCTGAGCCCCTCAACATTGTCATTAAATTAAGTCTGGCAAACGGGGAGCCCTCAATTAAGATAAGTGATAATGTTGGTAAAAATATGGGTGATGCAAAAGTTGTAGCTAGGGTAAAAAAGGAGTTGGGCTACGAAGAGAATGAGTGGAAAGAAGGAGACGAAGCACATAGATGGTAGTTCAATAGTTGCCATTTAAGCATTGAGATCAGTTTTCTCTATTGGTAGTGTCTTTACCTATAAATTTCTATATTGGCTCATGGAATGACAATAATATATTTATTTCTTACTTCATCTTGTAACTGTAACGTAAACAATGCAGCTAAACTATGATAACTTGGTCAACGTCATAAATGTAGCCAATGGTTCTGAAAGGAATTTGGACCAAAAAAGGGCCGAGTCTCAATTGAAGTTGTGGGAGTCAGAAAGAGGGTATCATTATCTATTGCAAGATGTGTATTTGGCAGTCGATTTACCATTGCAGGTTAGATGGTTGGCCATCATTTGCTTTAAAAATGGTATCGATAAGTATTGGAGATCTTCTAGGCCAAATGCAATCAGCAGGGAAGAAAAGGTACAGATAAGAAGTCGAATATTCCAATTGTTGCATGAACAAAGTGGTCAATTGACAATGCAGAATGCGCATGCGGTTGCTAGGATGGTAAGGTTCGATTTTCCAACGGAGTACCCGTCCTTATTTGACGATATAAGTAGAATATTGGACGATCTTATCTTCAAGGAGAATGACTTAGTGTCCGTTAACAACTTGTTGATAATTTTAAATCAGATTATTAAAACCCTAGCACTGATTCGCATTGGAAGAGCGAAACATGCAATGCAGAGTAAATCACCTGTTATAGTATCTATCTTAATTCGGTCATATTTGAAATTTTTTAGGGAGTGGACGAGCAGGCTAGATCTCAGTCTTATGGAAATTTGTTATTTATGTTTGAAAACTTTGAGGAGAATTATACCAGAAGGATTCGAATACCCCCATAAGAACCAAGATGTTGTAGAATTTTTTAAAATCAGTGTGGAACACCTCCAATTTTTGGTTTCAGAGCATGAAAAATATTCCTCCGATTTATTGGAGCGATATGTGAAATGTTATGGAAAGCTTTACTTTAATCTTATAAACAATAATCCGACGAGCTTCGTCTTGTTTCCTTGTGCAAAAGATATAATTTTGACATTCTTGACTCTTTTGGATCAAACTGCAGAAACAGTATACAATAACAATGAAGAAAATGACTTTTGGGAAGCATTAGCATTAAAGGGTTTTTTGATTTTGAAAAAGATCGTGTCATATATTTTTAAAAGGGGAACAATTACGCTAAAAGAAAGAAATATAAAAGAAGATGTGAATGCAGCAGTTCGTACCTTATCTGATGATGTATTTACATCACAAACAATTCAGCATTTATGTGACCTCATAATAAACTGGTATCTTAGATTGCGACCATCCGATCTTGAAAGTTGGCTTTTAGAGCCAGAGGAATGGACCAATGAAGAACTGTCATCTAGTTGGGAGTACCAGATTAGACCTTGTGCGGAAAATTTCTACCAAGACTTGATAAGTTTTTTAAAAGAAGATATCTCTCCCTTTATTTTGAGCAAAATATCAAACGGCTTAATTGAAACTACTTCCTTAAGTGACATTTTGACTAAGGATTCAATTTTGTGTACCTTTCAGCTCTCTTCGAATTCTATTGCTGCGAGTGTCGATTTCGACAAAATATTGAGTGAAGTCCTAATTCCGGAAGGATTAAGAAACGACTTAGTGGAAAACAAAATATTGAAAAGAAGAATCTGTTTGGTCATCGGTGAGTGGGTATCAGTGAAATGTTCGAGAGAAAGTAGAATCGAAATTTATCGATTATTGATCGATTTTTTGAATAATCAGAATACAAGTAATGATAAAGTTGTCGAATTAACTGCAATTCAAACGCTACGCAAAGTCGTTGAAGATTGGGATTTCAATAAACACGACTTTGAGCCCTATTTGAAAGAATTTGTGAAACTAATGCTTCAAATTTTAAATGACATGAGCTTTACTGAGTCAAAACTTTATATTTTAAACACGTTAACTGTTCTTTTGGAGAAAGTTAACCCATTAATCGGTCATCAAATTTTATCTAGTATATTGGAGATCGTTCCCCAGCTATGGGATATGAGCTCCTCCGAAAATGAGCCTATACTTCAAAATTCGTTATTGCGACTTTTGCGGCAACTCGTGATAGCATTGAACGAAAACTCTATCGATACATTCATGATCTCTCTTCCGCTAATACGAAATTGCTGTTCAGAGTCATCTGGCTCCTATGCATTACTTTCAGAAGATGGCTTCGACTTATGGTTGGCTGTATTGCGGTATTTCCCAGCTTCCAAGCCCATAACAAATGAAATTGAACAATTATACAGCTTGATTCCAAATGGAGTAATGAATTCGACTGAAGTCTTACCTACTTTGCTATCAATAATGAGGAGTTATGCTTTACTCGCAAGAGGACTTTTTACGAATGAAGTCACATTAAACCTTTTCCGGATACTATCCGGATATTTACCAAATATGAGGGATGATGCATTTTCCATTTTTATTTCTTTAATGGATATACTTTTTTTGGAAGAAACTGATGATGAAAGATTTGTCAATAACTTACTAAACAGTGGCTTATTAAATGCCCTTTTGAATTTCGTCTTAGATGATGCAATGCCAATAGTTTTGGCAAATAAAGTTTTGGTAGTTCTTGCTAGGCTTGCGACGAATTCGAGCGGTTTATTTATGGAATATTTGGCTCATTTGTCTATCGATCATTTACGTTTTTTTGAATTATGGATGAAATACTACTCTAATAATGGAAATCCTAGGAACAAAAAGATTAATTTGTTAGCGTTCTTATCTTTAGCTTCTTATGGAATTCCAAAGCATAATCAATTTTGGATGGTGAGCTTTCCAGAAGTAATTAAACGGACCTTCTTATTTTTAGAGGAAATACAGGAAGACAATGAAGGTAGATGCCTGGTTTACAACCAGGATTTCATTTACGAAGATATAGATGACTTCCGCTACCTAGATCCTGACATTCAACCGCATGGTGAAAAGCGAAGATATCAAGATTTACTCGATAGACAAGACCCTGTCTATAAGGTTAACTTGAAAAAATACCTTTATGAAATACTTGAAAAGTTAAAGCTGGATATTTCTGAAGCTGATTTCAAGCAATTAATAATGATGAATGACGAATATACTATAGAAAAACTACAAGAATTTACATAGTTCTCTCACTAATAGATCTACAAAATTGGGTATATGCAGTATCGATGATAATCGAACATACGTTTGGTGGCGACAATATTTTATTGATCGTTTGTAAGTAACTCGAAGTGCATCGAGAGATTGAAATCACTTATACTATAATGTTCAGGAATAATTACGATAATGACTCTGTCACTTATTCTCCCACAGGGAGGTTGTTTCAGGTTGAATATGCTTTGGAAGCTATTAAACAAGGCAGCGCAGCTGTTGGTTTAGTATCTAAGAACTACGTTATCTTAGCGGCATTGAAAAGAAATGCTGAGGAATTGGGATCTTATCAAAAGAAGATAACGAAGATTGATGATCATATGGGTGTGGCTCTTGCTGGATTGGCTCCTGATGCAAGAGTTTTATCTAATTATTTGAGGAAGCAAGCAATGTCATCAAAAATGATTTTTAATAGACCACTTCTGACTTCAAAGGCAGTATTGTCAATTGCGGACAAGGCTCAAGAGAATACTCAATCTTATGGAGGGAGACCCTATGGTGTTGGACTTTTGGTGTCTGGTTACGACGACACTGGTGCTCATTTATTCGAGTTCCAGTCGTCAGGATCTGTGTTAGAATACTACGGTGCCGCAATTGGAGCACGATCTCAGGCAGCGAGAACCTACTTAGAAAGAAATTTAGAAACGATTCGTGCTACTGAATCGCTTGAGGAGTCAGTGGTTCATGGTCTAAATGCTTTAAGGGATACACTCTCTCAAGACGTCGAGCTCAACTTTAAAAACACATCGGTAAGCGTGGTTGGAAAAGATACTGAATTCACCATATATGATGATGAAGATGTACAGCAGTGGTTGGATAAATTGGATTCAGTTTCAAATGCCAGAAACAGAGACGATGACGATGACGATGACAATGACGACGATAATGCGGATGCTGCACAATCTGAGGTGAAAGATGAAACAGAGCAAACAGCTTCTACAGAAGATAGGATGGAAACGGATGATTAGTGTCTGATTCTTTGTAGCATAGAGCAAGTTTATACCATATCTTAGATTACTTATGGGGCCGAATAAACATACATTTTAACATGGAAATTATTTCTCTTTATTTTCTTGCAATTGTTGCTGCTTCGTAGCCACTTTTCTAATAGCAGTAAGACAAGCCTTTTGCATTTCGTTTACCTCGTTTGTGATCAATCGAGGATCATGAAATTCTCTACATTCTCTCACATCTTCGATCTTTTTTCTCAAGCTAGTCAACATCAGATTGATCGAGTTTTTGTCTTCAATGTCTATGAGATCTCCAAATTGTATCAAAGCATTCTCGGTATCTGAGCAAACCACGTCCGCTCTTGTTGCATTTTCGATATGCCTTCTGACTTCCTCATCGGCCTTCTTACTTTTTGCACTCTCGCTTATGATTCTATTTACTTCTTCTTCAGATAAGCCGGTCTCGCCTGAGACCTGAATGGTAACTGTGTTGTCTTTGTCATAATACTCCAGGTCTTTGGGATACGGTGTCTTATCAGTTGCTGAGACGCTAATAATTCCGTCTGCATCAATTCCAAATGACACTGCAATTTGGGGAGTTCCCTTAGGTCCAGGAGGAATATTGGATAACTTGAAATTTCCTATTAATTTGTTATCCCTCACTAATGACCTTTCACCTTGATAAACCCTAACCTCTACGCCTGTCTGACCATCCACAGCAGTTGAAAATAATTGCTCTTTCTTTACAGGTACTGGACTATTTCGGGGAATCAAAGGACTAAAAATGCCACCATACGTTTCAATTCCTAAAGATAAAGGAGTCACATCTAAGAGCACGACGTTCTTAATTTGGCCAGATAAAACAGCACCCTGAATAGCTGCACCTAGAGCTACGGCTTCGTCTGGATTAACGGCTGTGCTTGGAGGTTTTCCAAATACTTCTTCTACCACTTTCCGAATCTTAGGCATTCTAGTCATTCCGCCAACAAGTAGAATTTCATCAACATCCTTTGGCTTTAATTCAGCATCCCTGATGCATCTTTTGACGGGTTCGATTGTTCTATTTATCAAGTGTAAAGACATCGTATCAAGCTGATCTTCCGTGAGTTTCATTTTAAAATGTTTATCCTGCGTTACGAACGGGATATTGATCTCACTTTCTTTAACATGCGATAAATCTATTTTAACTTTTTCCGAGGCTTCACGAATCCTCTGCATAGCCATTCGATCACCTCTTATATTGATATCCTTGTTCTCTGTCTCGAGTTCTTTCAAAATAAACTCCATTATTAATCTATCAAAGTCTTCTCCTCCTAAGTGTGTGTCACCATTTGTTGCACGCACTTCAAAAACTCCATCTTCAATATCTAATATTGAAATATCAAAAGTGCCTCCCCCCAAGTCAAATACTGCAACGACGCCATTCCTCTGCTTTTTGTCAACGCCATATGCCAATGCCGCGGCAGTAGGTTCATTTATAACTCTCAAAATTTCGAGGCCCGCAATTTTACCTGCTTCTTTAGTAGCTTGTCTCTGTGAATCATTAAAATAAGCTGGTACTGTTACAACTGCATGTTTTATTGGTTTTTTGTCGGACGATAGATGAAGTTCCGCAATAGATTTCATCTTCTCTAGTATATAGCTTCCTATCTGTGATGGTGACATTTTAACTCCTCCAGTAGTCTCCAACCATGCATCTCCATTTTTGTTCTCGATTATTTTGTAAGGGGTGTTTTTCAAGTCCCTCTGAACTTCTTGATCGCTGAATTTTCTGCCGATTAGTCTTTTGGTGGCAAAAAAAGTATTCTGAGGATTAATGGCGGCCTGTCTCTTAGCTGATAATCCCACTAAACAGTTTAAATTCCCTTTCTTTTCATTGAATGCTACAGTTGAGGGTGTTGTTCTACCACCTTCCTCATTTTCCAAAATTCTAGCATCCTTCCCTTCAACTAAAGCAACGGCAGAATTGGTGGTACCTAAATCAATTCCAATCACTGAATGTTGAAACCTCTTCTGGTACAGGAGCTTACCATTTAAACTTGCTCTTCTTAAATTAAAGAGTGATGTTCGCAACATTTTTTAAGGTAGGTGTAGTATTGTAAGCTCTATTAGTGAATATCCTTGAGCTGCAGTCGGATGAGTGAAGCTGATGGGTATAGTGTTGAGGATATTTTTATATACAGTATAGACAAATGATAGCTATATGCTATCATACTTTAGAAAATGAGGATTCGTGCTAACATTTGCTAAAGTTTTGAAGAAAAGAAAGCCAAACGACTCAATTCCGCACTCCGCTAAGAAGTATTTTATGATTTTCTTCATCGTAAAGCTGTCTAATCCATCTAAAGCAGTTAGAGATTTTACGTCATATACTTCAAACGATTTTGCTAATGTATACACATGGCAATAGGATCTTCTCTCCCCCTTTATCAGATCTAGATTGTACACAACACCCAAGGTATCAAACTTGGGGTGCCATACAAGCATTTCAGAAAATGTGTCAGGTTTTCCATCACCTTGTCCAATTATATCTAAAGAACTTTCCAATGCCTCTTTTAAAGCATACGAAGTTGCAATTTCTTTCAAATTAAAAAAATCGAGAAACAGATTTAATTGTTTCTTTTCCAAGTAATATTTTAGTTTTGCACTGTTGTCCATTATTCTACAGATTATCATAAGATGAATTTGAACAAGAAACCCAGAAAGAGATGGATCCTGGAGCAATGGCTCCGATTTTCTTTCCAAAGTCTCGCAAAATAAATACTTACAAATTGACGCTGCAAGCTTGTAGTCATCGACCTTTATAAAAGAAATATCTCTTTCGAGCCAGTAATCTGGTATGCCGACTCCGGTCTTATTTAAAAGCTTTTCGTGGTAAAAAAGGGTAGACATGGAATCTGCTCCAAAATAATCATTCAAATTGAAGAAATACAGAGCCATTTCTTCGATACTAATCTTCCTAAGAACTAGATTAAACTGATCTCGACCACTATAATTGAAATTTGATCTCAAAAAACGCACTACTTCTCTGAGTCCAAAACTTTGCACCTCATAAAATAATGATTTGTCAACCAACTTTGGCTGAAAATGAAAGTACCATTTATCAACTTGTAAAAAATATTTGGTGATCTTGAGTGAAATCTTTTGCTCTTCCTGTTCCGGTCCAATTCTTATTTTAAAGCTTGACAAGAACTCATCAAGAATCTTTCCGAAAATTGACATCAAAACCAATGGGTGACCCTTCGCTTCACCAGCATATATTCTAGAAATGTAAAAGTCTTCTAAGAAGTAAGAATTGAAATATTTATGGCAATTCTTATGTTCGAAAAACTTCTCTTGGAGTTTAAAGCATGAGCAGCTTAATCTTAGAACTCGTGTAATGAAACGACAAAAGCACGTATTATCTCGAAAAACGATAGATTGGGCTGTACCATCATTTGAAAATTTGATACCAGGAGTCAGCTTATAAATTAACTCTTTAACATAGATTTCTTCATACAAAATTTTTCTTATATGTCGAGTTTTCTCTTTTCGACTTTTGATAAGTCTATGAAAATAATGATCAAAAAAGGACACACCAAACCAAAAGCGTTCAAAAGAACTTATATTATCAATTTCCGTTTTATGTATTAATATTTCTTTCAAGGTCTCCAATCCTATTCTGAAATTTTCACCTATCAATAAATTAGTGAGAAGCGAGGGCTCCATGATATCGACAACTTGAATTCCTTTATCAATATTTTTCCTCAAGTTATAAGTTGACCGTTCCAATAATTTGGCAATAATAGGGACAGTTTCTCTTTTCCCTCCATATTCATCTATGAGTGTTAATACCGTGTCTCTGCCGGCAGCTAAACAATTGTTCAATCCTTTAGCGAATTTGACTTCCTGTCTATTGAAAGATACAGCATGTTGAAACGATGTAGTGACATCGAGTTTGAACGGACAAGTTTCAAGGCTATCCTTCCAACTGTATGCGACCCCTAAATCTGTCCAGTTATTTCGCAAAAGCTTATGCCACATGTAGTTATGTCTTAATTGCAAAAAAATCTGACTAGATGTTTCCCTTAAACTTAAACCATCAGATATGGTTAAGTTTCCAATAATAAAAATTATATACCATACATCCAGAGGTATATCTTCTAACGGCATTTATTCGTCAATTGCATAATATTTGATAATAATTCAAGTTTGTACCTAACAGCTTATGTTTTTATTATTATTCTTCTGTAATTTTTTTTTTCTTTTTGCTCTGTCTGTAGCGTCTCTATATACGGTAATAAATCGAATCTTGTTGAAATGTGAAAAGTTTCGGCAAGAAAGAATGGGCAAAAGAAAAAGAGATTCCAGAAGCTTTCATGCTTACAAGAAAAATAAATCAGGTGGCTTCATCGATCCCAATACTAGTGGTATTTATGCTACTTGTAATAGAGGAAAAGAGAGCCAGTGTAGGAATGAGTTGATGAATTTATTTTCTGAAAAATTTGAGCAATACTATGATATAGATGAAAAAGACTGGAGCTCTGAAGATGATGAGGAGGGAGATTCTATTGAAGCAAAAATTGCAAAAGAAGTGAATGATATTCAAGAAAAGAAGAATTCAAAGAAAGAATATTTTAAACCAATAGACTTAAATTGTGAGTGTCTAGTATTTATCAAGACAAGAAAGCCAGTTGAACCTGAAAAATTTGTTGAATCAATATGTGCTGAAAGTTCAAGTCGTAAATCGAAGTCCACTCGTTATACGCAAAGGTTAACTCCTATAACATTTTCAGTTTCAGCGAATCTCGACGAAGTTAGAAAACTTGCACTTAAAGTATTAGAGCCACATTTTCATGCTAACGAAGATCAGAAACCTTACAAATTTGCCATAAGTTTGTCTAAAAGAAATTTTAACGTCATTCAAAAGATGGATATTATAAAAACAATTGCTGAATGTGTTGGAAGAGAACATGGTCACAAAGTAGATTTGAAACTGTATGACAAGCTTATTTTGGTAGAATGTTACAAAAACAATATCGGAATGAGTGTCGTCAATAACTATGACAGTCTTCAAAAGTTCAATTTACAGCAAATTTTTGAGGAAAGTGAGGTCCATAATATTGAAGCTAGCCTTTCTAGAGTCAGCAAAACTGATGATTAACACTACAGTATAAAACTAGTCTTTTGAAGCCAAAAGACTATAAAATGGATACGTATTCCTTAAAATGTGCAATCTCCTTCCATGCTAACCAATCTGCTTCTTTATTTGGAATAAGTCCCATATTGTATAGTTTCCAGATTCCAACGCCCATGTTGAGCAATTGGCATGTTACAAATAAAATCTTAGTCAATAGTATATCTGGTCCATTGTCCTCTGTCTTTAAGTCCTTAAATGCCGCATTAGTATCTGTGAATATGGCCTTTAGAGGGTTCCAAAATAGCATCAATGTCATCGTAATCGGAATTATTTGCAAAGAATTTCCCGTCATGTAGCTCATTATAAGATTCATTGGTATTGACTTGGCAGGGGAAGTCGCAATTTCCCAAGCCTTTTTCACCTTTAGTTCACTCAATGTTGAATCTTTTTTTTTGGTATCGGTGACACCTAAATTTTTTTTCTTAGTTTTTGTGGTATCAATTTCTTCAAACCCCGGAGGAGGAATCAGGTCTTTCATGGGAGTTCTGGATACTATAAATCTTTCGGCATGCACCAACTCAGAAAGATCTGTTATACCCATTTTGTTGGCGAAAAATTCCTACTCGTTATGTACTAAAAAAAGTTCCTTATAGATCTCAGGAATTTTGGTTACTCCTTCATACAATCTTCGGGACAATTTTACTCAGATAGAGGAAATGATTTTAAGAACAAAAACTATCCTAGGATACTACTGGAAAAATTGACAATTGAGTCCATTCCTTAGCTGTATTGACTCGTCCTACAGAATCCCAATACCATGAATTCGACAAATTCATTCCAGACCAACCCACTAAATAAAATAATAGGACTCTCGATAGTATTATCTATGGGTTTCCTTTTAGTTGTATTAGCTGGTATATACGGTAATTGGTTTCCAATCATAATTGGGATTGTCTTTTCAATTGCACACTTGCCAGTGGCGATAACTAAGGCAATAACGAGCTCCAGTGATTATGATTTTAACTTTGATCCTAGCACCTCAACCACAAGTAGTTTCTTGAAAGAGTTAGGTCAATTTCTATCAGCATTTTTGATCGTCAGTGGCTTTGCGTTACCAGTTCTTTTGCATCATTCTCATATATTGACCAAAACTGCCATGATATTGACTATAGTAGGGGGCAGTCTCATCTATGGAACGGTTTACACTTTTAGTCTGTATTTTGACGAACCAGAAGAACAAGATGAAGTAGCTGATATAGGAGGTGGTGTCATTTAAATAAGATTCTACAGGTACAAGTAACAGCCATAAATGTTACCTCCCAAAATCTATATAGGTACTATCAATAGCTTCAGTGATTGTAGCTCTAATAAAATTTGCTATCTTGTGGTCCCTCTTTCTACTTAATGTTCCCTATGTGTAAAAATGAGCATGCTTGACGTATTTTTGGTTCAGCTGAATCTGAGCCAACAGGATATAGGGTTTATCTGAAAGTTCAATGACTATCTCAACTAAAGACCTAGAAATTGCCGAACGGGAAATTGCTGAAGAGCAGCAATTAAAAGAAAGCCTTAATAACGAAGAGTTCAAAATCTGGAAGAAAACGGTTCCTTTACTTTATGATACCATACATACACAAGCTCTAGACTTTCCATCATTATCAGTTCAGTGGCTACCCGACTACACTGTATCGGACAATAAGAATGAAATAACTGTGAGGTTTTTGTTTGGCACGAATACGTCGGGCTACTCTCAAGATTATTTGAAATTAGGCTCATTAAAATTGCCCAGTACTCTAGCGTCGGATTTTCCAAAGTTCTCACCAAACACCCAAAGTATCCCTCTCCCTTTCCCTAACGATAAAGAAGAGGGTGGATTCCAGCTATTATCTACCTGGAGGCATGACGGTGAGATAAACAGCATAAGGCTTTCTCCTAATTATAACAATGTCATTACATTTGATAATCAAGGTATTGTTCACCTATTCGATCTACAATCTAAAGATTCCGTTGAATTTGCTTATCATAAATTAGAAGGTTACGCATTGGAATGGATCGATGACCACCAGTTTTTATCTGGTTCGAACGATTCTCAGATTGCACTTTGGGAAGTTTCAAAACCATCTACACCGATGCAACTATTCAAGTCACATAATGCAGTTGTTAGCGACTTATCCTATAACTCAGTGGCAAAGAATATTTTTGGGTCTGTCGCTGATGATCATACGACTCAATTTCATGATTTAAGGAGCCTCAGATCAGAAGATAATCCAGCCATCACTGTTCAAAATAAACATATCCAAAACGCTATTTCCTTCCACCCTGAAATAGATACATTGTTTTCTACTGCAGGGAAAGATAATGTCGTCTCACTTTTCGATTTGCGTAATCCAAAAGTTCCATTCCGTAAGCTCTTTGGGCATAATGACAGTGTCAGTGGACTCAAATGGAATATTACCGATCCCAGTCAATTAGTATCTTGGAGCTTAGATAAGAGGGTTATAATTTGGGATTTGAATAAACTCGACGAGGATTTTTCGTACCCTAACCCTATGGAAAATAACAAGAAATCAACTAAAGCAGATCCCTGTTTATATTTTATACATGGGGGCCATACCCAAAGAATTAATGATTTTGATGTGCATCCGAAGATACAGAATTTATTTGCTACTGTGGGTGATGACCAGTTGTTTGAGATATGGAAGCCCAAAACTATTATACCAGAAGAAGACGAGGATATGGAAGATGTTGAAGATGATCAAAACGATCAAATGAGCCCAGCCCCTAACAATGATATAGCAACTACTAATGATCACAAAGATTCAGGTGACAGTGAAAGGGATGCTAAGTGACGAATGGCTGATTTTCTTGAGACAGCCCTAGAGGAAATAAATAATGTTACTGCTATGTAGGTAAAATAATTTTGTGTAATATTTTAATTTTAAAAGGTTTTGATTTAAAAGAGTATACAACTAGGTTTTGTAAGTCAAGAATGTCGAATCTTTTAGTAGACTTCGAAACAAAGCAATCTTCCTTAGGTTCAGAAAACGAGGTTCACCCGAAGAAACGAAAGTCAAAATCACCCATCACTCAAACAAAGAAGCAAAAAGTGCCGAATGTTGATGTTGAAAGTACTTTAAACGCGAATGAAGATGAGTCGCTGGAAGATATAGCCAAACAATATAAGAAATTCATCAATGCACCTAAGTTCAACTTAAATAGTGAAGAAGTGTTTTGTGTCTGTAGAAAGCCTGACTACGGAGAGGATATGATGATATCATGCGATGGTTGTGACGAGTGGTTCCATTTCGCATGTATGAAGCTTGATCTGAAATACTCGAAGTTAATAAGCAAGTTCTACTGCAAATTTTGCAAATGGAATGGTCTTGGGTCTACTTTGTGGAAACGCAAATGCAGGTTAAAGGATTGTTTGGAACCTATAGGGCTGGACATGAGATCCAAGTACTGCTGTGAGGAGCATGGAATTTTATATATGAAGCAAGTTTTGACTGAAAGAAATAGGACGAAATATGATTTACAAAACAGTGAGATAAAAGGAATTTTGGATTACTCTAAGGGCGACTATAAAATGTTTACACATCTTGGAAGCGTGTTTCCTGAATTGCCAGAAGTGGTTGAGTATCTGAAGGACAACAGCAAATTAGAAAGGTTTCCTTCAAACATTAGAGATAGCTTGATATCAATTAACTCTAAAATTCAAAAATCAAGGTCAAGTATAGCAGAGTTTGAGTTGAAGCTCAGATATTTAAGTCGAATAAAGGAAAAGATCAAAATAATTAATGAAAGGATATTCGAAAGACTGCAATCAGAAGGACGTGACATGGTTACAAAGAGACCCTCTCAGGAGCCTAAATCCAAGTCAAAGACCTCTGACTTGTGTTGCTATGACAAGTCGCTCTTAGGTTTGGATGCCAAAGATTCTGAACTCACACGACTAGTTGAGTCTAATGACATTAACGATGACTTTAATGAGGACATCAGCGAGCTAGTGGAGTTTTATGTGACTAGCCACGAGGTGGAAAGTTCCTCCCAATTTTATAAAGATGGAATCTGCATTCATGATAGGAAGAAATGTATAAGGCATAAAGGATGGTGGAATTTAGTAAACGACGAACTTAATAAGACTTTAAATGATCTCTATGATGACCTTAGAAAATTTGAAAGCGAAAAGACGTCTATTTTGAGAAAATACTCAATAGATATCTACGAATCTACTGGATCATAATGTTATTAGATAACAATTTTATCGCATAATTTAGATAGCTAAGTCTTCTTTAAACCATTAATTGTTGCAATGATTTTCCTAGAGTGTCTATAAGCTCTGAATTCAAGTAAATAAATGCCTTGCCAAGTACCAAGGTTCAATCTTCCATTCGTTATGGGTATTGATAAACTAACACCCACAAGAGCGCTCTTAACATGGCTTGGCATATCGTCCGGTCCTTCTGCATCATGAATATAGTAGTCACCCTCAGGTACGAGGCGGTCGAAAGAGGAAGTCATATCCTCTCTCACGTCAGGATCACAATTTTCATTTAAAGTTAAAGCAGCACTTGTATGAGTTATAAATAAATGTAAAACACCAATTTCATAGTCCCTTATTTGTGGGACGTTGTTTAAAACATCGTTTGTAATTAGATATGATCCTTTAGACCTAGGACTCAATGAAAATTTAGCTTGTTCCCATGAAGACATGATTTGTAAAGCTTCTTAAAAGTTTATGGAAACGTTTTGTTGCTTTCATCTTATAAATAGTAAAAGTCAGCAATCATACTTGAAGTCAAAGTCATGTGATTTGTGATAGCAGAAGAATGATTTAATGAACGATACAGATACCGGATCGGCGAAATAGTTTTTGGATGCAGTTATAGAAGCAAATGTTGGCTTTTTAACATGGTCTCAGCTGAATACCAAGTATTATATTTTCTTTCTTAATTCAAAAATTATTTGTTTTATACGTATTTTTTAAAAATTTTGAATAATATTATATGTGACTACACGTTTGTTTATATATATTACATTGAGCTTGAGCTTCAGTCAACTTCATGATGAGATCATGTGGACTAATAAACGGAGCAAGTAATGCAGATGGTACAGAGGATAGTCTATACAAAGCATGTTATTCTCAGTCCCCATGTCTCAATGCACCTATCTCCTAATATATCCAAGAGCTTTTGCCAATTGAATATTTTATATTACCTTATCTATATGCTGAAGCTTTAGTTTCTCTTTTATATCTTGTTAGTTCAATCATAATGCTGTGCAAAGTACTATATGTCTAGTAATACCAACTGTTCAATACTCCTAAATTATACAACTTTTAGCAGCAAAGTTATTTGTGTATCACGTGATTGAAACAATTTTTGAGAGAAACTTTGGCGGCAATGTAAACAACATTTGCAAGATCGTGCTGATTATTATTCGCTTTGAAATATTGGAAGTAAAGGCATTTGGAACATGAAACAGGATGGTTGGAAAAAGAAGAGTGGACTCATTTGAATTGCACAAACTTCAGACTGATGCAAATATTAAGCGTATGAAGAAGGAGAAGAGATTAAAAGTGAACCATGGTAAAGCAGGGTTGATTCAAACAAGTAGGAATAACATGAACATATTTAAAAAGAACATTCTGCGAAGTGAGAACAGAAGATCCCAAATTTTAAAGGATAAGACAAATCAGATGAATTTTGGGACTATGGATACATTAAAGAGTTTACATGATCATACTAACAGGAGTAATCTCCAAAGTACAAATCTCAAGATCACAAACTACGGGAAAGAAAACGAACAGGATCGCTTTGAAAGTGATAAAGATGATTTTAAATCGATGAGGCATTTCAGAATATTTGATGTATTTGACCAGATAAGGAAGAATAAAAGTTACACAATTTATCAGACTACCTCTAATAACAAATACCAAAAGATTACCGAAGAAATAATTGACAAGTTGCCACTGAAATATGATTTAAACGGAGTCATTCTGCCAAGTGTTCTGCATTACGTAAGAAAGTTCATTGAATGGTTTAAGCTAAACAAATATGATTATATTATTTATAAAAAGGATCTACAAAACCTAACGGGCCCATCTATCCGTAACAAACCGAGGGAAATAAGGGATCTTAAAATAGATGATAATTCACAAAATCCAGGACATAGACCACCTTTTGAAAATCACATGCCAGGGCTCGCAAGAGCTCTTAACAGTACCAGATATAGAAGCCAGGATTCAACTATAGGAGATATTGAACCGTCGCATATGATCGAATATACAAGTAAAATCGGTAAATTTATAAATTTTGCGAAAGTAAGAGACCTTAGAACAGAGATATCCCATCTCGCATTCTTCATCAGAGCTGACATCAGATTTGATCTTGAAAAACATGATTTAATTATTTTGCAAAGGAAACCCATAAGATTTCGCTTTACCAATGGAAATGAAATATCTCTTTACATGACGTGGAAAATTTTCAGGGACGAAACGTTATGAACTTAAAAAGGAAAGAAAGAAAGAAAGAAAGAACGAAAGAAAGAAAAAACATAAACTTTAGTGGTGTAAGGATGTTATGAAAGATTTCCTGGTTAACTTCATATTTCAGCACCCTGCCATAAAAAGAAATCAAAAATTTAGAATTTTGAAACATTCAGATGATAGGAGAGCTACGAAAAAGATCAATCTCGTAACGAATCTTGGGAC